AATGCGTGAGAATGTGGAGGTATCTAAAGAGCTTAGAAAGTTTTACCCATATATAATAGAGGTACAGTAAGCAGGCAAATTGCATCGCGAAAAAAAAAAACGTTTAAGTAATCTCCCGAACGCATCTCGCAACGCAACAATGAGACGGAAAAAAGGACGCTTCCTCGTGAAAGCAAAGTCATTGCTCGCGCAGCATCTAACTAGACGATGAAACGTCGTAACGAGCGCGAGAAGGTGATTATCGTTCGTGACGAGGAACGATAAGGAATTGAAGCGGGCCGTTGATACACCTGAGCGAAAATCGGTCGGCTCAAGCAACAGCAGTTCTTAACAGAAGTAAAGATTAGCGATTTGTCGTTGGAACTACTCGCAAACCAATATTCGACGTAAGCACGGACATTTACGTAAGGATGATACCTTAGCAACCAATCGAACGTAACGGAACAAGTCGAATAAAAGAGGTTGGAAAATCAATTTCATTGGCGAATTTATCACGAGCTAGCTATTCATTTCGACTTTGCTTGCGCGCGTATAATTCGCGCGAAGGAGTTTTACGATCCTAACCGCGGCGCGCGCAAAGGAAAGTGAAACGTAAATCGCAAGCATAATTAGAAGATGAGTGAGTGAGTCTACCACAACGGCCTAACTATTTACTCGAGATTGTTTATATTTACTTAACGCTTGATTTTACGACGCTCGCTCGTACGCCTCGAAGATGAGATATTTGTTCTCTCGATTCAGCGTCTGTAGACGCTTAATAGTTGCACGCGGCTCGTAAAATATAATTATCACATCGTGTAAGCAGTGATTGAACGACGCGAGTTTCATCAGATATATACGCTTTCGAGATCATTTTTCAATAACCAGCCAATACGAAATTAATCGCGGTATCGTCTCACCAACCAGTAGCGTCGCCTCTTTTCCGCGAGTAAAAAAAAAAGAAAGTCCTGTATGCGTATACAAGACACAAAGGACTCTGCGTTGAGCTCGCAAGGAGAAAAAGAAAGTTGCCACTGCTCTTTATTTCATTTTTTCTTCACGAAAGGCAAAAAGGAAACGAGGTTCTTTTTTTTGATCGCTATCTAAATCAACGTCGTTGTGTGTTATAAGCAGGGGTCAGAAAAACAAGCTTGTTAACAATTTTACGAGCTAAAAAAAATAAAGTCGTAACTATTTTTCTTTGGGAGAGATAAGGAAAGGTTGATAAATACAGTGCGAATTCTCATGGTGGTTTAAGGCAAGGAGCACAGCTCGCTTGCAGAAGATGTATAGCTAGCGAGCAGCAGAAATGATTAGGAAGTCTCAATGCGTAAATCAAAGCTGCTATTGCCCCGACGTCAATATTGGAACGAACCAGCCGGAACGGGGAGAGTTAGTGTATATACATGTGTATTTTCAAAATACAAGAGGAGAAATAAACGTATCGATTGACCAAATAATTATAACAGATCGCGAAATACATCTACTTTTGTTATAATAAAAAAAAGTTAACTTGCATATTTCAGAGCTCTTCGTCCAATTCACCCGATAAAAATAAATAGCATATCGATTTGAGCGTGTATATAACCAACTCATACATGAAAAGGTGTTGAGTCAAATATTACATATCGCAAGCGCGAATAAGACAACGGAAATTTCCAAATTGTTCTAACGACTCATGGTCAATTTCGACACGAACGCAATGTGGCTTACATCGTGTACGACGCGACAATAAAGAAAAAGAGAAAAAAAATAAGAAAAAGAGACGCATGTCGTTTCCGTCGTAGAGTGTGAGAAACGTAAAGAGCCCCGGCGGAATAGTAGAGGGGAAGCGTAGACTCGCGCGCGTCCTAAAGACTCCGATAAAAGCAGCGCAGACGCATCCTTTCGTGGCGTTTGTTGTCCGTTCCCTTTATTTTCTTCTGGCTGTCTTTGTTCGTGCAGCTGACTGCGCATCAGAAGCAAATCGAAATATCAGTTTCGGCTTTTAATAATCCAAGGGTCACTAAACTTTGTCTCGATTCGCTTTTGACGTGCGTAAATAATCACGCCGAAAGATATTATTTAACCATCTGTTTTTTGTTCTCGAACTGTATAACGACGTTTTAATATGACATCGAAAATTTTCGGTCTTGCGAAGGAAGTCATCAAGAAGAATAAGCACAGTTTCAAGATAAAGAGCGAGCAACAGTGAACAGAACAGAAAAAAGGACGAAATGCGAAGTTTTCAAATCATGTAATTACACTCGTACATTTTTAAACGAAAAAAAGCAAGTTTTTAAAAAAACAATCGATCTCGTATAAAATGGCTCTGACATGTATGTGAGAAAAAGCAACAACGACAACGAAAGCAGCGGCAGCGTGTGCCAGTGGCTCACTGAGAGCGTGCATCGTCAATCGACGATCGCAGAAGTAGTTCAGGATAACGAAGAGATTGACGAGTACATCGATCGAATCGCTTTTCCTCTTTGTACGCGCGCGCGGTTGACTTGAAAATGCAACGAAACAAAAATTGAGTGAGAGGCGTTCATTAGGAAGGGGCAGAGGCGTAGCTCCTCCGTATGTGCACACTCAACAAAAACAATACGGGCGAGCGAGGAGACGCGAGCGAAAGCGAGAGTGACGGGAATAAACGGACAAGTTGTTTTATTAGGATGGCTTTTGCTTCTTTTTTCACTTTCAAATTTCAAAGCAATCGAACTGAAACGCTTCAAAGGGACAAGCATATATAACCGTCAAGATGTACAACATAAAAGCGTTTCGTCAATTTTGTTCTATTGGGTTTTCCAACGGCATGAGTGAACTTAAAATTCATAAGTGGTTCATTACCAAGTTTGACCCCCCACGAAAGCGTGCGTTTCTGCCGAGCGCGCAGGTGCGTTATCAAATCTCGCACCATCGTAACTACTCTTTCTCCGCAATCGTTTCGCAGCGTGAGTCACTACGTAGACTCCCACGCGCGCGTTTCGATAGTAATTACTGGAGGGTCCGAGGCGGACTTCCGGCACACGCGTTTGTACTTTCCAGATATTTCAGCGCAACGCGCTCAAATTATGTACGCGCAGCGCGGAACTTTTGATTTGCCGATTGAGAATTCGCCTGGAATTTTTATGTGTGTGTGTGTGTATATGTATATGGTGTGTGCATGTGTATAGTGTGTATATAGTGTATGTCTGGAGGATGTATAGTGCGTGTATATGGTATGTATATGGTGTGTGTATGGGGTACGTGTGTGTGTATGATATGTATATAGTACATGTGTATGGTGAGGGAATGGTGTGTGTGTGTATGATGGGTGAATGGTGTATGTGTGGGGTATGTGTATATTATGTATATGGTGTGTGTGTATCGAGGGTGTACGGTGCGTGTATGGTGGGTTGTATGGTGTGTGTGCGTGCGCGTGTGTATGGTATGTATATGGTGTGTGTACGTGCGTGCGCGAACAAGACTTGCGTAAATGTCTACACGGAGCCTCGATCCAACAAAGCGAAATTGCGGTTTTTTCCCTATCTAGAAAACGCATTGAATACGACAGTGAAAAAAAAAAGCCGATTTTTCTTGGCGAACAATGATCTCCGCCACCTCATTCCCTAGCTGAATAAACAAAAAGCGAAGAAGCAACAGTAGACAACGACACGATAGCTTACAAGGGAACACACTCCGCAAGGAACAAGAGACGGAAACGTGCTCGGTTACCTCCGGCGAATAAATAATTGCCCGAAGATTTTTTTACGTGCCGACACTCTTTATTGCCACCAGTCTCTTTCCGCGGAATTTCTAATTATCCGATGCGCATCTTTCAGTGGCAAAAAGTTAAAACTGTTTCGTGCGAAGTGTCGGCATGTTTTGTTTGTTTTGGAACGAGCAAATCGGAGTTTACACGCCTGAGTTGATATCCGCAGGACGCCAGATTTTTTTTTTTGATAAATGGTAGCTGAGGGAGTTTCTGTTTGTCAAGAGAGAGACTCAAATAGAAGATTAGATGGCGAGTTATACAAGGTATTATTTGGCTTCGAAAGGCGACATCAGTTATTCATATTTGAATAGGAAGAAGATCGTTACTAAAGAAAAAAAATTTATGTTGTTCTGTGCATATCTTATTTAGCGTATTTTATGCTGAGCATATCATTCATGAGTTTGAGTTATTTAGTGATTATTATATTAAGTATAAAAAAAGTCACACAAAAATCTGTCCCTTCTCTACTGTACGTACACGCCTCAAGGTATAACGTAACAAATGTGTAACAACCGTTAGGCCGCACGGTAATTATTTTTTTTTCGATGTAAAGGGATTAACATAGATGCGCGCTTCCCGCGCATTAACGAGTTTCATGCGTGCTACATGTGCAGAACGAGAGCGAGCGCTAGTCGGTCGTAACGCGGGTGTCGATTTCCACGGAGACACGCGAGTGCATCGTCTTTTATTTTGATGAGCTTGCTGCGAGTGTTGGATTTTGCCGTGGGATTTATTAGAGTAAAATTATGCGCGGAAGAATGAAATTCGAACTTGGGGAATATTAGCAATTTTAAATACGTAATGAGCAGTCAAGATTTTCTAACGATTATCGTGTTAGACGTGAGATAAGATATGCAAGATATTTCCGTAGTATGCTAATTATTTCGCGAATCATTATAATTTATGGGATTACAAAACTTCGTAAAATAGGTCATAGGTGGGACAATTATCAAAAATTGCAATTCGCACAAGTAACAATCCTCGGTTAAAGGCCAGAAAAAATAAAAAAATGACTTCATCCGCATAAAGTGCACAACTATGGGTGATAATCTTTTCTGTGGAAACAAAACGCAAAAGTCGCTGGTTATCTCGTCGCCCGAGTAAAATAAGCGAAGGGCAACGACGCCGTCAAATTTATCGTGCTTGCGTAAAAAACTTATGTACTATCGGGCGAGTTCAAGTTCACATGATGTATGTATATATATGTATAGATATGTATATGTATATGTATATTTTTTCATTGTGAATAATGTTCGCAAATATAGAGATAATATGTTTTCCTTACCTTTCGAAGTCTTTCCAGCTCGATCTGCTCAGCTGTCGTCACTTCGACGATACCAATACTACTCGACTAAAAGAAGAAAAAAGAAAAATTGACTCTCGGTCGCGAAAAAGTGCGCTTTAGTATCTTAATTCAAAACTCGTATTTTATCTCGAGATTTACGCGCGAGCAAAAGAGAAGATCGCGAGAGAGAAAAGCACGAAATGATGATAACGAACGGCGCGCGCTCCTTCCTTCTTGTAGTGCAATTGTATTCAAATCAATATGTAGCCTGCGAATATTTCGCAAACTCCGTCACGCAACAACAACGGAGATGAATATACACGTGCGTTTACTGTGTTGTCTATTTTTTTCAAACGCAGGAGAATTACGCGGGACCGTCGTAGGTTTTTAATTACTCGAGCGCGTTAAAAATTTGACGATAAAAGTTACTTGGAATAATGCGTTACTTTGATAATGTCGTTCGGAGAAAAGGTAACCGTCGCAATGTAATGTAAACGTAAGTGAATAGTTTTCTATTATTTAAAAAAAATGAAAGGAAAACTAACTGTAAAGACTATTTTCATCGCTAGCTGAATTACTCGAGAACTATGACTATATTATTCATATAATCCTCTTATAGCAGTTATAAGAAGAAATCGGAGTGCGAATTCATTCGTGCTGGTTGTCTTCAGAGTGCTATGGTAATTACTTTGACAATATTTTCATAATCGCTTATATCATAGAACAAGGAAAAACTCACCTTTGCGTTGTTAGCGGCCCAGGCGGACGAGTCAGGTCGCTCGATCTCTTTGTCGAAATTAACAAGGGAGTGAAAATTGTTTAGTTGACTTGGGCTGCACGGTGGTTCTTCGGCAATTGTTGCATTGGCCAAGTCGTAGTCGAGTGACTTCGTATCGGCAAGCCGGCTACCACCAACACCATCAGCAAATCGACGAGCGAAACTACTTTTGAAAAAATGACCTGGTGACACCTCACTACCCAAGGCAAACTCGATCTTTGGTGGCGAATCGGCCATCGTTCTATCACTCGCTGAATGTCACCCACAAAAACTAAGTGTCGAACATGTGTTGTTATTCGCACGAAAATCAAAAAGGCGATGAACTACGCGAACACACTGCGATGAATACGCGGTAATAGTTTATTCCACTTTCACTCACAAAAATCACTTTTACTCTTACACTGAATCGTTAATATACTCGTTTCCGTTAAAGCACAAGAAACAATTAAGAGAGCGAAAAAGCCAGACGCTTCCCGGATGCCGGTGCGCGGCAGACTGAGCGCTTAACAATGTGAAGTGACGATTAGAGCGCAGCGTCGTGCTGTGGAAGGGGTAGTGGTGCGTGGGGAAGCAGCAGAGTGTCTATAGAGGAATGAAACGAGGCGTGCCATTGGCCAACAGTCCACCAATCACAGGTCCTTAGGTATAAGCGCGCTCAACCCAAGACGGACACTTGCCCTCTGTGAGCTATCTTCCAAGTAACTTTCCCTTAAACTCGAGGAATCGGGGATGCTAATTGCCAAGCGAGAACTTTCCCTCAAGTTTAAGGCGTCAGGACGCTATATGCTACAATTTCGTGGCGTCGGGGACGCTATATGATACAGTTTCGAGGCGTCGGGGACGCTATCTGCCAAGCGTCAATTTTCCCTCAAATTCGGATGTCTTGGATAACAGAATCACCTATGTATTTTTCTCTGAATTGGGCTAGTCCCTGCATACTGTTCATTTTTTCCAATATTCTATTGAAATGTTATGTAGCTTGGTGTTATTGCAACAGGAAGAAACTTGCCGTAACTCTTTGTCTTCTTTTAATTTCAATCGTTTCCAGGAATGGGAATTGTCACCGAGTAAATAGACGGTTCCGATTAATTATAATATTAATTATAAATTTGTTAACAATTTTCTAAAATAACTTTTACGTTTCTTAATAAATTACGATAGAAATGCGGAAAAAAAGATTCTTGGCGAAAAACGCTACGTTCGAGCGAAGTGAGAGTAGAATGCCACACGAGACGAGGAACTCTCTCGAACATATCGTACAGTATTATAATATATATATTATTAAATTTTTAAGTTCGTCGCTTAACATACAGTGTCCAGACGCCATGAACTTGAGGGAAAGTTCTCACTTGGCAAATAGCATATATTTTTACACACGTATCAAAAAATACTGTACGATACATGTTCGAAAAAGAGTTCCTCGTATCGTGTGCTTCTCCATCCTCCCTTCATTCGATCGTAAGCGTTTTTCGCCGAGAATCTACTTTCCCGCACTTCTATTGTACTATAAAATATACTATTAAATTTTTAAGTTCGTTTGAAATGTTGGAATAGTAAATTACGAGATAAATACGGGAAAGTGGATTTTTCTCTCGTGTGGCGTTTACGCCCGAGCAAAGCGAGGGTAGAATGGCCCACGAGACGAGGAACTTTTTCCCGAACATGTATCGTACCGTATTTCTCAATAGACGTGGAGGGTACGATTTTTAACGCACGTTTTTCGCAAAGCGTGCGGGGAAAACGTATTTTGCGCACGAAATGTCGAATAGAATGTTCTCGAAAAATTTTAAGAATAAATGTAACATAATTTTCAAGAATTAATTTATGACTATAATCCCCGACGCGCCTTCGTCGTTATTTTTCCCAGAGATAGGGATCGCTTGTCACCCGACGACTTTACGAGCAACTTTAGGTTTGGTGAATAGTAATTTATTGAACCTACGTGAGAAATGGAAGGTAGACCTCCTTATTTCGAAGAAAGGATAAATTGAAGTATATGCCCATCAGCCTACTTCCCTGTAGCCAAACGAGAAGTCAGGTACATTCAAGAACAATATCTATTATTGCAGGGTTTCTCGTACTAATGAGGGTCACTTGAAATACTTATACAATATTAGCAGCGAAGGACTTAATTTTGGTTATCATTATAAACGCTTTAATGCATGCTGGGTAAAATATCCAAATGCAATTGAATTAACGACTATAGAACTGGAAAAGTACGTGGGCAATAACGATTGAAGAGAAAAGGGAAAAAGTGTTTACGGCATTTTCCGTTGCACGAGAAAAGAGATTAAATAACATCGGCATAACTGTATCACGAGCACATCAAGTTTATTGTCCTTGTGCGCGCTCTTGTCGCGTAGTACGAGGGGCGGCAACTTTACGCTAGTTTCATAATAGCCGCGTCGCGTCGGTAACGCTATATGTTAAATTGTTACATGTATACACTGACACACCAACACCTTGCACGCTTACGTCTTACGCGTTCGAAACTCTATATCCACGTGTGAAAACATTAATTCACTTTGCACGACCTAAGGCGTGAGCCTCTCTCTCATTGTATTTTTTTTCCGTTTGGAAGCACCGGTTTTCTTTGGAAAATCGTGCTTGCTTACTGATAGACAGAATAAGTGTAGTTGTTCTTTTCTAAATCTACATGATGTTGCTTGCTATACATCGATAATTTATCGAATGCTACATTAAAAACTCGAAAAACTTGGTTTGATGTGTTAGAATAGTTTGATGCAGTTAGCATGAACAGAATAATTTTTATAAAAATTATTCCAAAATATATTATTTTTGATAAATTATAACAATTGATGAAGAGGCCACTTGTTTTACATAATAAATCTTGAATATTTTACTAACAGAGTATTTGTTTATAATTGTAAATAAAATTGTATTTATAAAAATATTTATATTAGTCTATATTGAGGGAAAATGTTGTCGGTACGAATGTTAAATATTTTTATTTAAATATTTTATCAATTGACGGTTTCACAAATGCAACAATAAGTCGAAAATTATAAAACAAAATTAGATTTTATTGTACAAAGCAACGTAGACACTTTTAATTAAATAGTATGATTCTTCAATCAAACCATTTGACAAAAAAAAAACAATAGCCAATTATAAACTTGGTAAAATTAATAAATAACACGTATTTATGACTAATAAAAGAATAAACATGATTATCTCAGACTCGTAACCCTTGTATGATAGCAATCAGAACGTAATTACTTCTCAATATTGACTATAATATACATAACTCTTAGACTTTAGCTGTAAAAACAATTAACATTTCAGGTTTTACGACGAGTGACGGGTGTGTAATCTTTCTTTACTCTAGCAGAGCTAGTGTTTAGTACGATCGGCGAAATTTCTGGCGATGAACCATATCGCGATAATTTATCTAAACGCTTTTGAAGTGAAATATTGCCGGGACTACAGTGGTCAGCGGGACTGGCGAATGAAACACTTCGGTCGATAGGCCATGATGTTGGTGTACCTTGAGCCGAACGAGGCTGAGGTTTCTTCGCTAATTCCGTAGTTACTTCGTCAACACAACTTTCCGCGTAAGATATGGGGTTCTAAAATAAAGATTATTGTTATTACAACATTACAAATGTTCAGCATTGAATTGACGATGTATTCAGCATTGAAATTACTTGTATGAGAGATTTAAGACTGCGAAGTGCTTTCATTAAATGTGCTTGGCGAGGATTACCGGTGAACACACTTTTATCCGAACAGTAAGCCACAGCAATACTCCACAGATTGCGACGCCACTCGAGATTACTGCAGGCGACAAAAGAACCAGGTGCAAACATACCTTGATAGCCAAACGAGGAAATACCATTCCAGAATAGTACTGATAAATACGATGAACCACTGTCGTTTGGTTTTGGATATGCAATATTGACCATTTCGAAATTTTTCATTCCCTGTAGGAACACGTTCAACGAAAATTTTTACTTTTCCTTTCTATCTAAATTCAGCTTTGAAATAAAAAAGAATAATTTAAATATACATATGGAGCAGATCCCGATGATACGACTACTCCAACAGTGTCGAACTCTCCGAATTTTGGCTCGAAACCAGCAACTCCGATATCAGGAATAAAAGTGCAAATACGATTTGGATACGGTAACTTCAACAAAGGTTCGGTCTTGATATGTGTAATCCTGCTGGCTGTAAGGTGGAGGTCACCGCCCCTGTTAAAATGAGTCATGAACTACGTCATCATCATCATCGCTGAGATATTATTATTCTGAGAGATAAACCGCGAGAAAAAAATGGGGATCACTACGGAATGCACTAAGTCACGGTCTTGTAACCGAGGGTTTGCTTATCGCGAGAGATATATCGTGAGTTTTAGCATTTTTTCCAAAAGTTGCCAACTGTTTGTCGAGACTTGATCTCTTTTTCAAATAGCGGATGGCTTCTTATCTGTTGGCACGTTTAAAATGGGTTTGTATCTTCTTTCTTTTCTTTTCTGACTCTAACAATGCGGTTACGTGTAAAAGATAGCGTAAGTTTAATAGTTTTTTAAAGTGAGATAAAGATAAATGACACCTTTTTGTGAATTTGTTATTGATTACAACAAAACAAGTTACTATATAATATAAAATATTAATGTAAAGCTCACCGGTGTCCCGACGTGAAAGCGTTATAAATACTAATAGTATCGCCTTCTCTGATATCGCAGTCGGATTCTTCGCCGGCACCCCATATCGACAGGATAACCGTTGTACAATCATCGACAAGCCGAATTTTTAACACAGTTGTGACGTCACGTCGCGGCGGCAAACCATGACGTACTTGTGATTCAAGCTTACGCTTGAACTCTTCTTGCTTTCGCTCATAGTGATTGAATTTTTGCGATATTTGAATCTATAGGAATAAATAAATATTAAATTAGCTAAAGCTTTTCTTCTATACTGTTTGTAGGCCATTTATACAGTACTTGAGATGTATCTGAATCATCGTCGGATTCTAATTTCTTTTTGGAGTGGAAATTTTTTTGGGCTTCGGCATACATTGCGTCGACCTTTCTTTCCACTGCTCGCTCGTGGGCTATTGCCACTTTTTCTTCGCACCTCGCGTTTCGGTATACTAACAGAATTCAATTAAAATTTTCATATTAAATTGTTGAATTTCTTTACTGAAATCAACTCACTCGACTTTCCATCTACAGTTTTTTCTCTGTACAGAATCGGATAGACTCTTGCAGCTGCAGCCGTAATTTCTCCAATCATTCCACCAGCTGAAATAATATCCCTTAATTTCACAGGTATTGGTCGTGAAATTTTTTGATAACCTAGCTTCACATCCCACTTGGCTCGTCGCGTACAGTTCGTATGTATTTTCAGACTCACATTTGGCGGTTTCTATGCCCAAAAAAGAAACATTTATGTCAAAAGAGTATATATTTTGTAACTTAAAAGCCATTGAGATGACATACCTCGAGAGGAAAAAATCCTCTCTCGCATTCCATTAGCTCAGCGCCGTAAGTGATGATCTTAGTGCCTTCCTTGATCTTACCAGTCGAGATATAATTAGCCATCGCCGAATCTACAGTCAGCGGAATATCATACCAACCATCAGTAGCTTCTACTTTCCATCGAGACAATCCTAGCTTAGTTATAACTTCTTTGCTCGTTTCTTCTACAACGATAGACTATCAAAAAAAATTTATCTCAGTTAAACGTTTATCAAAATCGATCATATTGTAGAATATAGATTTTAAGTATAATTAATTACCTCTTTGATGGAAGAAATGCATAAAACCATACGTCGCGTAGATACATCATCTTTCTCCAATATCCTTCTTAAAGCTGGCCTTTGAGCTTGATCAATTTCTCGGTCGTAGCGGTATTTCAATTCGTTCATTATACGGTGAGGGGTTAAATTCCTATAGAGAAATATGTAAAATAAATTAATGTTAAGCCTTATTTGTCACAGTTAAAAATTAGAATATCTAGCATACTTTGATAACTGAATATAACCAAATCGCATCCGATCTAATGCAGCTAGTTTCCACACAATCCATTTGTAATGATTTTCAATCCAGCCCTCCGGTAAAAGTTTTGGATCAACGCCTGGCATTGCGAGAAATGCTTGCGAGAACTCAGATACACCCGCTTGGCCATTTTTATTAAAGATTAACAAAGCACCGTCACCTAGGTCTAAACTTACAATATTCTTTTTCCTAAGACATTGTGTTTAAAATTAGATCTTTTTTATTCATTGTATGACGAAGTTATTGTTAAATTACAAACCCAGTAACGTTTGACGACAAGAACGTATAGCAGGTTGCATTAGAAGCTGTTACTTCAAGTATTTTTGTATCGAGATGAGTTTGCTTTATCTATAAATAATATGAAAATTATTCAAATGCAAATATTTTAACGGTTAAAAATGTTTTAACCAGCGAACAACGAACCTGCTCATCACTAAGAGGCATAGGTACTGAGCTACCTACTAACTGACTCCATGACGTTCGGATTTTACTATTTGTTAATCGCTCATGCAATAACTTGCCTACAGTAGGTTTTATTTTAATTCTCTTCTTGTTTCTTATTATTTTTTCCTATAAATAATGACTTTAATGATAAAACTTTTTTTTCAAGTTTCATAGATAAAATGAGCCCAACAAATAAAAAAATATTACCTGTTGTAAAATTGCACGTATCCGCTCCTCTGATAGATCTATTTCTTCCTCTTTTATATCGATGTCTAGTCTTTGAATTTCCATGGATTGTACAGGTTGAGTATCATTTTCTCCTCGTATTATTTTTCTATACTTTTCATCATCATCATTCTCATCCTCATCAGAGAATAGCTTACGACCTTGAAGTTCACTTCCAACCCTTGGTTTTTTTACAGAAGTCAAAGGCGTATCACTGTCAGTATCCGCATGTTTACGTTTACCTATTTCAATAAAAGGAATGTTTGTTTCCACTGTTCTGTACTCAGTTTTCTCGGATACGTTTTCAATTAGTTCATAATTCGATTCTTTTCCACACTTTTTTACATTTATTTCCTTTCCGTATTGCAAAAACAAACGACGATCCGTTGTAGTTAGATTTGTAATTGTAATTGACTGACCTGCTTTAATGTCTAAAGCTATATCATTATGCTTCTTGCACTTATTTCTTAAAAATGTTTCAAAAGTACCAAATAGCCGACTGCTTTTTATGTATTCTTGATCAGAAAATCCAAAACAACTTTCAGAAAAATTGAGTTTCGAACAACTTACCGTAGTGATATCATTTTTCTTCTGTTTTCTCACATTAGACGAATTAATTTTACTACTATTTAAATAACTAATATCAACTTTAGATAACCAGGAGTCTGAATGCGAATCGAAGAACTCACTGACAGATAGACCCTTTTGCAGAGGTTGATTGACGGATGATTCATTGTCATGGTCCGATTTGTTTAATTTCGCTCCGGTGACATTTTCACCAGTTACCGGAAAACCACCAAAAGATCTATATCTACCTGTTCGCTTATCGTCACAGTCTAATTTTCGTTTCAATAAGCTTATTACATTTTTAGTCACTTTGTCTGTAGTTAGTAAAGTTTGATCGTTATTGATGACTGTTTCGTGATCTAGTACTTCTTTTTTAATGATCTTTAGTGGAGCAGTTGTGGTACTCATTGGTTTAAGAATATTTGAAAAATTTGGCACGATGAAATTGTTATCTACATGAATACTGTCAGGAATACCGGCTTGTTGTGGCGGTGAAAAGAATTCAGCCAAATCACCGATTTCTTCAAATTCTTCATCGACATTCTGATTTTCTTTCTTTATAACTACTGCATCTGTTTTTATAGGCTTCGATGCTATAAACGGTGGTTCTCGTAATTTACTTTTCACTGACTCATTAGGAATCTCATCACTCAACTCATTATAGATGTTCAAATAGTAACTCTCTTTATCATTATTTATAGGAATATCAATTCCCCTGGCAGTGCAAAAATCATCGTTTAGAGGATTTACAACATTCTGTTTAATACTGTTTATATCCGGTATAATGAATTTTTTTGCATTAAATGTTAACATAACTTTATCATTAGGTTTTGAAGTCAACCCTACTTTATGCTGCTTATTTGTTTTTATGTTGAGTAAACTATTTTCATCTATATCATTTAATTCATTATAAATTTGTAAATACTGTTCTTCTTTTTCATTACTCACAGCAATTTCTCCACCACGAGCTGTAGCAAATCCATCTGTGAAAGCTCTTGAACTTGAAATTTTTGTTTTCTTGGTAGTGCTAGTTTTTGATGGTTGATTGACGACGGGTTTCTTACCATTTGATTTTTCGATAATACTAAAGTCAGTATCATCGCTCAGTTCGTTATATATTTTCATGTAAAGGTATTCTTTTTCTTTACTAATTGAAATACCTTCTCCACGAGCCGTTGCAAAACCATCGCTTGCACTTAATGTACTTAAAGTCGACGTTTTCGTTTTATTTGAATTAATGTTAGATCTTTGGTTAATAGGATGGATGTTTGGTTTTAATGAATTTGATGTTTTCGCTGCAGAAAGATTTAATCCATCACTTAATTTATTGTAGTTTTTTAAATATAGGTTTTCTTTGTCTTTGCTAATCGGAACTTCTCTACCCCGAGCTATTGAGGTGTCCATATTCTGTGGTGAAAGTTTTGTTTCAAAAAATTCTTCAAGATCTCGATCTTGAAAAAGTTGTAACTTTTCCGTTTTGTTATCTTCCACCAATTCCCTTCTTCCAAAATTTATTAATAATTTTTCTGACTGTTCTTTCTTTTGTTTAAAATTAACCTCATCAAGTAATTCTTTTTCCATTTCCTGATTAATTTTTGTATAACTAAAAAGCTTTTCTTGATTTACAGGTATATCTTTTGCTATTAAAAATCCATCAGTACTTTGGTTAACTTTGCTATCAGAGTTAAGCAAATCATGTTCAATACAAGCTATTACTGATTGTTCACTAAATTTTTTTGTTTCTTTCTGATTTGATAGTTTATCATTATTTTCATCAACAGAAACCTTTTCAAAAGCTTGTTTGTTTAATGTAATTTTATTACGTACACGTATATTATATTCAATATTACAATCTAATGAAGTGTTGCATTGTTCCTTCTTTGACTGTTCACTACTATTTACATTCTTATTATTTACAGCATTTACCGGTACATCATTTATAATTAAATTTATATGAGTGTCTTTAGTACTTGAACTTGGATTTTCAAGATTATTTTCTAACAAAGATAACTTTGAAAAAGGTATCAATGCCAAAGGTTTGGCTTTATTTAAGACAGATTTTTTTTCTTGACTGAATGTTTTATCTGCAAGCTCAAGTTCTATAACAGACTTGGAAAAAACTTCTTTGGGTATGAAAGTGTGACTGATATCAATTGAGCGCCTGATTGGTTTCTGATTCTTTTTGATAGCTGCCACTCTTTCAAGAACATCATTACTTACACTTTTTGATATGTTTTCTTTATTTTCAAAATTGACTTGTTTTGGGCTATTTTGAGACTGATTTGAATTTAATGTGGGTTTTATAGTTTCTTCTTTAATAGCAATTGAACACAATTTATCAATTGAAGTGAATGAAGCATTAGAAAAGAAGTCTTGAGTAGAGGTATTACTATTTTTGGCTGTATTGACCACCTCCTAAAAATTAAAATTATATATCAAGATTGTAATTTATTAAAGTGTATGACTTTTAGTTATAATGTATTATTTTTGTTTACCTCAATTAACTTATTTTCCATGCAATCTAGGTTATTTAGATTATTGCTTTCTGTCATTGCACATTTGTCAACTTCTTTATGAATATCAAAAGCAGATTCACTATTTGTTGAACTAGTAGTCTGAGAAGCTACTTTATCTCTACTGCTATTGTTTGGTTGATCATTATTATTGTCAAGATCTAAGTTGAGATTATTAAGTATTTTGCGTTTCACTTTTCTTTTTGGTTTTCTCTTCCCTCCAAGAATAGGAGAAGTAATATTCTTTAGGTTGAATTCCATATTTTGTTGAGGTGGAGTTTTGGATCTGGTAGGTGTTTTATTAATCTAGAAAAAACAATAGATATTAAAACACACTCATAATAACAATTTAATTGCTTTTAATTTAAATGAATAAAATTTTATTAATTTGATTCCTGGTTCCATTTCATTTTCATGGTAAAAGTATATGTTAATTTAAATAACTATTTTAACTGTTTAATATTGTAATGAGCTGAAGGAAATTAATGATCTCAATGTATGTCAGCATTATTATATGCTATAGAAATTCTTCAAAAAGTTTTATTTACATATGTAGGATATAAACAGTTCTGAAGTTAGTTGAGAATCAACATACATATTTGGAACTCGAGTTAATTTGATTTATTCATTTATTTTTAACATTAGTATGATGTCAAAGTTCATAGCACCACTTTGTAATCGAAATAGTCAATTTTAATACATGTATTTACAATAACTGATAGATTAAATGCTACAGTTTTGTATTGAAAAATGGTCAAATCTTATGCTATTAATACAGTTACAAGTTTTATTACAGATTCTGGGTTGTTCCCTTACTTTGTTCTCAGGTGTCTCCATGTCACTAGTCCACAAAAAACTTGTCTTTTTTACAAAAGGTAAAAGCCCAGCTGGAGTTCTTGGTACTACAGCTCGTCCAGGAGTTCTAAAATTACATTAATTATATTGAAATTAAAGAAGACACATCATTCAAAGATTATGATATTATGTGCACCTACATTTCATTAGCTCTTAAACAAATTGTAGGAGTTCTCATGGAAATTACTGATGAATTCAAAGTATCATTCTTTATAGAAATTTTAGGAGAGTTACATGAAATATCATCTACACGATCATCGTCTGAAAAAATGAAAATTGATCTAACATGGAGTATTTATGATTTTAATTTTATTTGTTATAGTGAGATAAGCTTTTTCCTCATGATACAAAAGTGTCAAATCAAAATAGAATTTTCCAAACCTGATATATTGCAAACCCATGACATAGTTAACTTATACAAATAAGGCAAGAATATTTTTTTCAAAAATACACAAATGTAACCTATTGATTGCATTATAGTGAAATTGTAAAATAAAAATGCACGAATCAAAACATTTTTTCACAAGTCATTTAAATATTTATTACCTGAAAATATTTCCTGAGATCCAGAGTTGTTTTTTAAGTCGTTGATATGCCACTTAACATTGATAAGTAGATTTTCATTGTTTTCCAAATTGCCATAATCTGCATTGGCTACACTCATTGTTCCGTTGTTTAACTCATTCGAAGATTCAACGTCATATTATACTCATTGATGAAAGAGTACCTAAAAGTGGTAAAAAAATCTGCATTGTTGGACTATAAATTTAGTCGTTTAATCACTCAACAATCTAAACAGCAGAACATTAACCATATCGCGCCAAAAAATTGAGCATAAAAAAGAACCGGGCAATAAGCAAGTAGACGAAATCCGTCCCTAATCATGTTGATTTATAAAGTTGTGCAATAGTTCGACTTCAAAATGCATATAAGAAATCGAAAGTTTACTTATTAAAATTGTTTTGAGTAAAGGCAACACAGTATCTTTAACTTTCCTAAAAATATATTATTTAAATCAAAATATTTTAGTTATGTTGACTGCGGCGCTAGTTGTTGGCTCATATTGGCAATCATCAATGGGTATCTGGGAAAATATTGTCAAACTGCAATACCAACCGTGCAATTCCCAACACGGCAACACACTCAACTCATCACCATGGAGACTATAAAATGAGACGGACGCGGAGAACTATAGTAAAGTATAGTATAAGCTTCGCGGGTATATGGAACTTGGAAAGTTGGAAATACTCGACTCTAAGGTTGGAACTTGGAAGCTCGAATTCAACGAGAATTCGCGATTGAACGATACCGGTGCGTCGCCTTGGTGGATCAAGCAAGTAGTTGAGGACCACTTGTAGATTCAAAAAATAGCACTGGTAAAAGGAACATATTTATTGAAAAAAAATGTTTTTAGGGTCCCGAATAAAAAGGAATCGAAGGAAATTCGTATAACTCATTTTCGACACTCCGTGCGCAAAGTGCGTCTTTCCCGCACACTCGGTAGAACACGTGCGTTGAAAATCACACTTTCCACACCTCATATAAAAAAATACGGTACAGCACATGTTCGGGAAAGAGTTTCTTGTCTCGTGTACCTTAGCTTTCCACCCTCGCCTCGCTCGGGTGTAAACGCCACACGAGACAAGAATCTACTTTCCCGCACTTGTATCGTAATGTACTATTTTTTAAATAAAAAAATTACTAAAACGTTATCTAGTTTTTTGCAATTTAATTTCAAAGTTGCTAGTACGCTGGAAGCTTCTTGCTATTTTCTAAATGGTGCATTCGTCATTTGTTATATTTTCTTTGCAAATATATCGATAATGCATAAAAATTTGTAAATTTATAATTTAGCTTCTCTTTCTGTTCTCATTTTCATTCTTAGTTTACGGTGAGTAACAAGTTGATGATCTTTCTATTACTCAATAATCAAAATGACTGAAATGTTCTATGTAGGGACAACATTTTTCATTAAATTTTTTTTAGATTAGGGTTAGCTGTAAATGTAATTGAAAAGAATAAACAAAAATTTTACAATTCCTCAATGTGCAATTATGAATTATAATATTACCCAAGGGAAGGTAATACAAAGCAACAAAATGCTTACTGCAGATTATCCTCGTAGTTGATGTGAATCTTAAGATTTTTAACGCAATTAACCATTCGTTAAATAATTTTTTATTACTTGGAAGCGTGTGAAAATGCAATTTATTGTTTTTCTTATTCTAATAATAAAAAACTAAACAATGATCTTTTTGTTTCGTATTTGCAATTTGCATTTGCACGATGATCAGTAATCAATGTAAACATCCTGTCTGAATGCGAGTCAGCAGATTCCTGCATGGATTAATCGATCAAAAAAAGAAGTTAAATAATTAAAAAAAAATTTTTTTATTGGAAAAAATAAGTTATTGTCTTTTAATTTTTAAGTTTTTTTCTATTCAGGATCCGGAAACGCATTTGTTTCAATTAATAATGAACTTTTTCTATATTTTTTTATACTTCCGATTTCTAGTTTCCTGATCAATTCACCAGGGCGGCGCACCGATATCGTTGATTAGTCTCCGTTTCTAGTAGTCCAGTCACTACTCTTTTATTCATTTAGTCTCTATGCTCGTCATACACGTGTATAGTTTGTTTAGTTAGTATTTGAAGCTAACTTTTATGTCATATTAATAATTATTGTAGTCTCAAAAATAGCTTTAAGATCAGTTACGTTATTTACAATGAATCCAAAGACGAAATCTGGAATTCATTGGACAAATTTAGAATTACGAGGTCTTCTCGAAGATGAGGATTCATGTGTATATCTTGAACGAACAAAAAAACACTTGGGACTTCATCCTGTTCACTTGAATGATTTGAATAGTTCTCTTCGTGAAATACTTAGTGAAAAATTAAACTTTTATGATCCAGAGTACGTCTATTATTCTTATTTCAAAATGTTTCAATTCACAATTTCATTTTTATACCTTTTTGTTTGAAAATAATGAATAAGATTGTAAATGATATTTTGCAGACTGAATGGTTTGGTATTAGCTTATCGAAACCCAAAGATCTTATCTCCATATGGAGAAATATTATATGACACATGCTATATTCACATCGATATTGAAGCAGATTTCTATGTTTTTAGACCAGAAATTGGTCGCAGCTTGAAAGGTTGGTAGAACTTTAATTATAGCAAAGTTTATTATTTATTGTCAAACTTTTCATTGTAGATTACTATTTTTTAAATAGGAAATTGATTGAAAAACTCAATTTCATAACAATATTACTTTGTGTTTTATTATTTTTCAGGTTATGTAAATAGAAAAAGCACCAATCATATTGGTATTTTGGTCCATAAAGCTTTTAATGTCTCCATTCCCAGACCAGATGAAGATGAATTAAATGAAAAAAATTGGCCTGGCCACCGTGTTCTAGTTGGCCAGGAAATTCGATTTATACCTGAAGATGTTGATTTTAAATCAAGACTTCCATACATTAGAGGATTAATAAATGAAGAGTATGAATTTGTTTTTGACACATTTAACTTCTAGTTTTTTAATATTTGTTATTTTGAAAATCAAATGACTCAAATTGATTACCACACTATATTTTTTTTATATAATATTTAATTTTCAGAGATTACTTAAATGGATGCAAACTTTTTAATGAACAGATTGCTGCTAACTATGAATCAGAGTTTCAAGAAATTACAAGGAGAAGTTTTAGTCAAGACAATTCTAGTAAAACGATTGTAAAAAATGAAAACAATCATATAGTTTTTAACAGTGATTCAGAGATCGAAGTTGATCCAGACAGTGGATCTGAAAGAAAATCTTCTATAAAAAAACTGACTATATCTTCAAATGACACAAGTTCTATAGATTCTCCTTTAAAGAAAAATAAAAGAAAATCAACACCTGCGCGAGAGTTAGGAACGACAACTGAAAACCTAGATGTTAAAGATGCTCCTGAGCGACTGACAAAACGTAAACACAATAATCCTAGTGAAACTGATGATGAAAGAACACAAAAATCTAATATAAAAAATTTATCACATAATGACACAGCTGATTATTTTAGTGAAACGGAACGTATCATAGATTCACACAAAAAAAAACATAAGAAAAGAACAAAAAATCCTCTTGATTTTGATACTGAAGATGAAAGAAATCACAAAGCTGAAATTAGAAATATAATAAATAACTTGTCACAAGATTCAATCGACATTAACCAGAAATCACCGAAAATGTCGAAAAAAACAAAAAGAAAACACGAAAACGGTGAAACAAGTAAAAAAGATTTAGCAAATCAATTAACGCAAATTGACGATTTATATGTTACTAAGAAACCAGAGATAAAGACAATTCGAAATAATAAGTGTATGGATACTGAAGATGAATTATGGTATAAATCGACAATCGATAAATCCCTAACTCAAGCAGATGACTTAGAAACATCAAAATCTAAGAAGAAAAGAAAAAGAAATTTTCTCGATGAAATACCTGAGGACACAGAAGATGAAAGAAATTATAAATCTGCATTAAAGAAGTTTATAGAAACAAATAATTTAATACCCGAAGAATCGCCAAAGAAACGGAAAAAGATACAAAACGAATCCGAATTGTGCGAAGATACAGAAGATGAGAAAAGGTATATAAAATGCTTAAGCGTGATTTGAATAGTTAGTAGAAATTAATATTTTATGATTATTAATACTTTTTTGATATTATTTAGGTATAAACATATTCTGAAGAATTTAGATTTTCAAGTACCAGCAATTCCAAAAAAGAAACATAAAAAGATGATGGCAGTAAACGAAGATCCACTCATGGATACTGAAAATGAGAAGCAGCACAAATCTTACTTGAAAGAACTGATTGAATCTATGGAAAATAATAATGCAGAAGTTTCTGAAGACAGCGTGAAAATTAAAAAAGAAAAAAAATCTCGGAAAAATAGTATTGTAAATGGTGATATTCATGAAATGAATGGTATATTAGATGTGGTTGTAAAAAGTGAAGAAGAACAAGAGACAAAGAAAAAGTTAAAAAAAAAAGAAAAATCTGACAGAGAAGAAAATGTCTGTGAAGAAGTACGATGATGATTGTATTTTTGGAGGACAAAAATTTTTTATCTTTATTGAAAACGATATATTTATTATGTATTTTTGTACATATAGTGTGCTTAATTTCTAATATTCTAACAAGTAAGTTGATAGTAATGTTTTTCATTATTGAGGTCACTCTTGGAGTTTTCATATGTTGAAGATTAAATTTAATAAATGAAATGTATAAACAAAGTTATAGAAGTTGTAAATGTCTAAAATTTAAAGCAAAAATATATTTATACTTGTATAAATTATCAATTTTCTAGTGTTTTTATGGAAATCTTTCATTCATTGCTTTAATATCACACGGTCAAATAGAATTTATAAAATTTTTTTAATTTAAGCCCCACAAAATTTTGTTTCGATTCTATCTTTTTTAGATTTTACTGACTTTACCTAAAAAACTATTTATAATTATGAAATGATGGAGTGAAGGGAACTATTAACACCATACAATTGTTATAATTTTAAGTTTTTTAATGCGACAAAAATCAATGTGAACAGTACAAAATTGATTTTATTTCGGTACTAGTTTTTTTATTATAAAAAAATTTTCATTAATCAATAAAAAGTTAAAAAATATTTTACAAACTTTATAGAAATTAATTAAATTATAAATCAAAACTTTCTAAATGTTTTACAAAAAAACAATTTAAGGAAAAATAGTTTTTATCATTTATGGCATCTTTCAATCATCTCGTGAAATGATAAACACTTTATTTAAGAAAAATGATTACGCAGATATAAATGTAATCACATTTTCATGGTCTTGTTATTATTACATAAACAACTTTGATGCGTTTTTATGTAAATATTGCACAATTGAAAATTATAAAATACTATTTTCTATTTTGAGTGGAAACAATTATATATTATTTTGTTTAAATACTTACAAAAACTTTACAAAGCTATGTACATACATTAATTACTTATTAATGGCAAAATGTTTTCTGCCATTGATAAGTGATTAAAGTTTTGCCAATTTTGCCAATTGAATTGAACTAAGTTGAATTAAATTAATTACTCATCAATGGCAAAATTTTTTTAATCATATAAAAAAATTAAAACTTTCATTACTATATATTTTTAATATTCACATTGATTTTTTTCATACGACATTATTTTTCCAGACAAAAAACCTTTTCGAGATTCGCAAAAAAAACATTACACAATATCTGTTTTGATGTTTTTTTCCCATGTAAACATTAACTTCATATATAACTAATTTACAAAGTTTCTCCCACTTATAATCAATAATTATTTACTTGTAATCTAATACACTGAATGTTTATAAATAAATTTTATAAACACGTAGTATTTACATGGCAATACCTAAAACTTATTGTACAAACAAAAAATACATTTGAAAATTCACCTAAATTTGTTTGTTTACCTAATTAATTACGAGGACATTTATATATTTCTTACATATAACATTTTTCACAATTTCTGTATGAATTACATCAAACATATTTTTTACAATACAGAAAATTTAATCGAACGCATTCATACATTAAGAAATAATATGTGAACAATTCTTGATAATAAACTCTTTTATTTACATTTTAATTAAAACTGATAATATCGTAATCAATTTTGATTTCCAGCAATGCACATCAATACAATAAACGTATTGTTAAAAAATATGACCAATTCTGATACTATTCCTAATATGATGTTTTGTAATAAATATGTTCGCATGAATCATGCATTTGTCAACTTTTAACATAAAATACAGCACAGTAAAACTGAACGTAATCGAAAGTTGTAACTTCAGCACCATACTTTTTTCATTCTAGCTTTGTATACAACAATACTAACATTTAAAAAATAATGCTCGTACACAATTCACTCTACTGTAAATTATCACAACATACGTTGAATTTGTTCTTTCGTCAAATTGAAAATCGATCAAAAAAGACATCAAGTTTCTCCTCTTTTCTTTTACGTCCTCTTTTATGTCCAAACGACTTTTATGTCCTCACGTCTTTTATGTCCAAACGAGCCACGAGCATATTCATTTGCGACAAACGCGCTTTCACAGCACACTTAAAAAGTTCGTCGACGCGCTAAGGCAAAGGCCAAGGTAATCCCGAGAAGTCGACAGGTCCACCGAGACCAGCATCGGCTTCGAGTAAGCTCATGATCACAGCCATCGCAGCTTCATCGTTTCCGTCCGTTGGTACTGGATTTGGCGACTCGTTTATCGCTGTACCACCGATTATCTCCATCATTTCTTCTTCAACTGGTGGTCCTACGATCCACACGTTGGTACATTGCATATATTCGTATATGAATGAGAAAGAAAATCTTCGAGCTCTACCTTGATCACTGGCAATGATGTTGAGTTGAACATTGCTGTTCATCTGGCTGTACGTTGACGTTCGATTACTGCTGCTATTGTCGCTGCCCGCACCTTGTCGCACTTCCGTTGGCTGCTCTGGAGATGCCGTTGTCGTTATCTGCGACTGTTCATGTAAACAACATTGAGAAAAAAAAGATAGGATTGAAATTCAAGGCCAAACTGCTGTGGAGATGTTGCGTACAACGACAAAAGTCCGAAGGTACACAGATGCATTAAGTGCAATATTCAGCTTGTCAAGTAGGGTTTTAGCGATAGATTCGATCACAATCTGCTCAAGTTTGGACGAAGTTTGTACGAAGTTAAATATTACTTCACACTTAACGATTTGTAAGCTACTTACGTTCGACTCTCTTTACACTGTACCTACTCCTGCGATAATTCAATAATTAGCTAAAAGCAGATAGCTGCAGACTTATTAATAATCATAAAGTGGATATTAGGATTTTCTAGTTTAGAATGATTTAAAAATGTGACAGGAAGCCACAAAGCTATAAAATAGTGATATAATAAACTAACGCTTGTGCCAAATGCCTTGATATATCCAGAACAACGTTTATTGAGGAATATTGCTCGATAGGTAAATTCGTCACAGGTGTTATTATCAGTAAAAACCGGTTAAAAGTCATCAATAAACGTCGTGCTGCGAATCGTTTGCGAATATGATGATTACCTCGGGGTTAAGCAGAGTGGGTTCCGGTCCAGGCGTCGGGCTACTGCCCGACGAGGAGTCTTGATCGCTGCGCCTTTGCAGGTCCAGAACCTCTTCCGCGATTTGACGGCCGATCTTACTTACCTCAACGTGGCTTGATATTAGCCTTTCCAATCCTCCGTTACCTGCAATTCGCGTACCCACTCTTAAGTATCTTCTATTGTACCTCGTTTGAAGGAGCTTTCCATTGAAACTTTTTAGTGAAAAGAAGTTTATTGAAGTATATCGCTCTTTTCTACACTAGTTGCATTATTTTTTCAACTTTAAAATCGTTCTCCCGTATATCAAACTCAGATGCAAGTTTGATATTTTCGAAGTGATAAATAAAAAAGCATAACAATAATATCCTGCCAAACTTGAAAACATTGAAAACGTTTACATCAAAATGTTTTGCAGTTTGGTCGAGTCTCCTTGTCAAACGAACAAATTAAAAAAAATAAACAGTAAAATAAAATTTTGGTTTTTGATAATTTATTGTAAATAATATGATCGTTTGCTACGTGAGTTCTGAAAACAGCGCTGCTTCTAGCTTCGCTTAGTGTCTTTGTTAACGTGGAAAATACAAGTGCGTGAAAAATGCGTGTACGATAAGATAGAATAATCTCACATAGAAAGCGATATTTTACTAGAAACACCAATGCCGATCGATATAGTCGAGAACAGAAATCAAATCGTTCAGCAAAAATCTGCACGTGGAGCTTTGTAATAACACAGTGAGTTCCGAATATGTAAGCCGTTGTTACTTAATTCAAAACAAAAACGTGTTTCTCTGCACATTTAATTAAATTTTTTATAGTCTAGCGTTCGTAATTTTCAAGAATAAAGCTCTTAACTGCTTGACGTCAAAGATGCATTCGCAAATAATATAACGACGATTCTCACTTATTACGTTATTAAACCTGATAAGAGGTGAATGTTCACCTGACAGATAATAAAAAATTAATCGTTGCAGCAGTATTAAATGCGTACGTGATAGTATATCATTATTTGCAAATTGCAAAGATAGTTTTAGTGGTAGAAAAAATTTTTATCGGCGATAAGATCGAGGAAAATGATAAAATGATATGGTCATAAAAATAATTAATGGCTGATAACCACATTTTAGAGAAAAAAGTGTTGGCAGGTAATTGTGAGTATTGCGCGTGGAGAGAAATTGATAGATGTATAAATAACTCGAGTTCGACGAGACAAGTGAACTTTACTGAGAAAGTAACGATTTTATCATAAGTCTAGAATTTTATTAATTATCGAACTTACTTTGCGCGAAGTAATCGTAATTCTCTTGCACGCTGCCACCTTCGGAGCGATTAGCGCTACTCTCGACTTGCCGCGTGTCCGAGCTACAAGAAGCAAAAGATAAGTAAAACGAAAGGGTCGTGTTCTCGAACTGATTTGCGAGGGACGTACAAAACCGCGGAATTCTTAGCTATGAGGTACTCAATGTCCTTGGTCCAGGGATTTTTGAAAGACTTCCACTCGGAGCAAAGCCTGACGAAGCTCGCAGCTTTACTACGAAACCTATACACCTACGGACAACAGGAGATTCGCTGTGATTTGAAGGTTCTTCGATCGGTAGCCAAGGTACGCAAGGTGACGTACCTGAGTGGTAATTCTTTCGGAGGACTGTAGTGCCGCTTTGTGCGATTCCGCCAGATGGGGTATATCATCGTGGTGGTAATACTCGTACATACTGGTCCCCAACAGTTCTTGCGGGAGAAAGCCCAGCACTAACGTAGCTCTGATTGTCAGTTAATGCTCGTTAATACTCATGGATTTCGGGCTAGAATGCGAGCGCCAGCTAAATGGGCGATACCTTTGGTCGACGAACAGGAACTTGCCGTCCATGGCGTGTCGCGAGACGAATTCGATGGTGCGCAATCTCAGTCTGCGCGGCGTCGAAGTCGGCGCCACCAGCGGAGCCTGCACTCTGCCCACGGCGACCAAGCACGACAAGTTGCAAGCCTCGCCGTCGACTTCGGATTCCTGCTCCTCCAGCCCGATCTTCGCCGGTGCCCACGACTTCAAATAGCCCGTACATTGAATCACGCAGTACTTCCAGTCTGTCGACAGAAAACCACTTTCCGTCGTACTCGTGCTACTTCGCCGCGCTTCGGAATCGAGATTGGTCGTATTTGAGGAGCGCCGGAAGGACTCGGACGCTGTCAATCCGGCGTCGTTTCGATCGTGCTCTCTGCGCTTCGTTCAGCGATCATCGTGAAATTCAAACGATCGGCTTTATTTCAATCTCAAGAATAAACTTCTCGTCGATTTATCAAACGCTTAATCGCCGCCTCTGAGTGCGCCGCCGCGCCCATGTAATCTAGCGGTATGCGCAATTATTGTGCACACTCTCTTTATCCGGTGGGCAATAAATCCTATGAAATTAATACTCTGAACGCGCACGCGCGCGCGCGCGCGCGAGCTAGTTGAGATACCGTATCGCGCGAATAAAGTTGAAAACCGTAAAATCTTCCGGTTGAAAACGATTCGTTGCGCAAAGTACAAATTACAAAGGAAAGAAAGTTTCTCCGTATTTCGCCAATTTCACGAGCTATAGGTGGCGCGCGACAATCTCAGTGCGAGGAATGGCATTTCTTCTCACCCTCCCGCGAAAAAGCGAGAGAGTCTTTTGTATCGAGAAGGGCGGAAAGCTAATCGCTCGCGCGCGAGCAGATGTGACTCGCGTCGCTTTATTCCTCCTCGGTCCCTTTTTTTTTCCTCGCGATCGAGTGACTACGAATTTCCGTTGGAAAGGTGAGACACCTCCTTTTTCTTTTGCACCGAAGCTTTTGTACACCTGCCCTCGGCGTATTTCGCGGAGCCCTTTTGCGATAAGACGATTTCCGAAAGCTGCTCGTCTGTGAGCTCGCGAATTCTTCTCGCAATGCCGCCCGATGCTTGCGATTTTCGGGAAATCGTTTTCACCCAGGCTTACCGTAATTCTGCTGCTTTTTCCGCCTGTGATAGCCAGTGGTTGTGTCGGCCTCCTCCTTGATCTGCGACTCGGCACAACGACTGTCCACCTTTCGCTTCATTCTGCAAAAGAAGGAGCGTCGCGCTCCTGGACACAGCCTCGATACACCTTGCGGTACGTCCGTCTTCACCGGCAGCATCGCTTTAAACATAATCGTAACGTTCAAATTCGCGAGTACATTTATCACAGACATTTGGTGTTGTCCTGCAATGTTTAAAATGTTGACTTGAACAGAATCAATACAACATGCAGATCCAACGGACTTGATTTCAACAGAGACAGTAAGTCCTCTCATCAAAACAATGATTCACGTAAATCCTTCGCATCGCTCGAAAAAAATAAAAAATAAAAAAACAACAAAAGAAAAGAAAAACGAAATAATGAAGGATCGTCGATGCCACGTTTCAGTTGGTCATAACCAAATTAGCGACGAACAAACAATCGAAGGGCAAACAGGCGTAAAATACGAAGATCAAAGTCAAGTCGGCAATTGGTTAGCTGCGCCGTTTCGCGCTAATGAATCGAAATTGGTGCGGGCGAATCGGCCGGCTCTCCTGCTTTTGTTGTCACGGAAAAGCATTTGGATCGTCGGGAAAAATAAGAAAAGTCCCTCGAGCCCACTCGTTAAACGGCCGATTGGCTTGTGGTCTGGCGCAAAGCGCTGCCGTGCTCACAGTTTGCGCACGAGCCGCCGGCGATGACGGTTGCGCAACGTTCTCGCGGCTCGCGATATAACGATCTTTCGCTCTCCGCGGGCGGCCGCGTATCGCGTGACGTAACTCGCGATCTCCGCAGCGAGCCGCGCCGCAATAGTTTGAGAAAGAGACGACGACTCCGCGGCACGGGCTTCTCTGCTCGCTGACACATCTAACGCGCGGCTTCGCCCGATAGAAATCACACTCGATACTCGATGACTTTGTACTTACTCTTAGCGTCGATGAGACGCTCGCGGGGACTGAGATCCGACGAGGAAAGCTGCTCCTTGACCTTAGCCACGTCCTTCGGGTGTAAGATGTCAAACCAGCTCTGCCCCAGCAGATCGCCCTGTTCGTCATGACGGCGTGCAGAAACAGAAAAGCAAAGAGAAAGAACGAAAGAAAAGGAGTACTCGTATCAGTCGCTATTACAAGCACTGTCACTTCAGAGGTCAAGTTCGCGAGGTCTTATCGGAGCATTTTGCAATATCGGAATAATGCGCGCGACGGACCGGTTCGCGTACAATGGGTTTGCGCGACTCTTGGGTCTGGCGGGCCAGACTGGGGGCCCAGAAGGGCTGTGGCGTGCATCCTGCTCGCTGCTCGCGTCAACGCGTTTATCCAATTAGCCACTAGATAGCCGCTATATTGCACCTACAAGCGGAAATGACAGGAAAGGGCCTGGGTGAACCGATTGCGGCTGTTTGTCCGGCTAATTTATTGATTCGCTTGCCTTTATTTGTCCGGTCTTCAACTCGCCGCGGCGACCAAGTTACGCGATGATGTAAGACGCGCGCGCCTGGCATCGTTCTGGCAAGCCAAAGCGACGGCATTCGTTGTAGATGCTTACCTGAGAGTAATTCAGAGTCTGCGAGACAGACTTGGAGACGTAGAGAATCCTGCCGCGATCGCATCCTACCACGAAAACGAAACCCTCGGCTGCCTGCGAACACATAACAATGGTAACGGGAATGAGCGGGTGCGCGCACGAGAACCACCTACTTGTCTTTTGTTCTCTCTCGCGCGTCAAACTTTTTCTAAGGCTGCACATCTCGCAGAACGAACCCCTTTCTTCTTATTCGCATACGTGTATGTATATGTATATATATATATATATATATATATATATATATATATATATATATATATATTTACGCGCCCGAGAGATCGTTCCAAGAAGGAATAAACGATCGTGAAAGCTCTCGCCGTCGAGCCTACGCCGAACCAAACAAATTGCAATCGCCATCAATTACATCCAGACAATTAAGTGACTCAGCGTTGCAGACTCCTTTTTTTCTTTTCAAGTTCCTTATCCTGACGGCGATACACTGCCGCGATAGTAATTAATTTGACAATGTGGAACTAGCAGATACGAGTATTATGCAAGCCGAGGCACGTATGTCGGAGCGCGCGCGCGTGAGAATGCCGAAAGTTTCGCTTCGGTCGCGCGAGTGCCTTCGATACGTACGCAGTGATAATGATACTGCATATTGGATAATGAGATTTCGAAAGGAAAATTGTCCTTCGGAATGCTTATTCGATCTAGTATTTCAAACATACTTTTATTCTTATTTATTGTTTAAACTTAGCATATAAGTAATATAATTAGTATAATATGTCTCTTAAAAAAATTTTTTATCACTCTTTTATTTTATTTATAATAATCATCTTACACCGTAAAAAAGATCTTTTTTAATAAAAAATTATATTTTAATGTTAAAAAAGTTCAGATGTTTGAATATTAATAAATTATAGTTCTTACGTTTTATTGCATTCCACTTTCAGAAAAAAAGTTCTTATTCCAACAGCCTTTTTGTACTGTTCTATTGAGAGTTTCAGATAAGAAACTGTATCAGTTGCACTATATTTCAAATAATAAATGCGTTTTTCTCACGACGCAATCTATAATTTTCATATAATCAATCTATAGATCAAAATTTATAAATCGACCGATAAAACGAAAGTTTTGTTATAATTGAGTGACTAGGTATAATGAACGAACGAACAATATATCACTTACACAAGTTCCCGAATCAAAGTGCGCTACATAACCCAACCCAACCCAACCTATAAGCGTAGTAGTAGCACCTTCATTATGCATGCCGGATAAACTTTTACAATATATATGTATCCTTAACACCGTAAGTTGTTGCAACATACGTGTATGTACGGACAATCGGACGGTGAACCGGCAAGTCAGTATTTTTTTTCTTCGCGCGCGCGCGCAATTCATGAATCAGGCAGTAGCGCGCGGGTGTGGTAGAAAGTGAGATATGCTGCTTTGACTTTTTTTTTAAGTGAATTGTTGAACTGACTTATACTGTTACGCAGTGATTTTACAAATCGATTTAAGTTGTAATTACGCAGATTCGTCAGAAGAAATAGACGTTGAATTACGAGCATGCGAAACCTTGAAAGGATTTTGTTCCTTTGTGTTGTCTTGGATTATACGAAGAATAATGGTTACAGAAGAAAAGAATTTTTCTAAATGTAAAAAATTTAAATAAACTAGTTTTTGGACCGATCGCAAGCTATTTTGAAGCGAATGCATGAGTTTACACACTTAAGCTTGTCTCTGTAACTTAACAGATGTGTTTGCATGACGTCGTGGCAGCAAGACAACGTATTTTTTCTACGCGCATAAACTATAAAAAAATATTACTCAATGAAAAAAGAAGGAATATCTCATTAGTTTCGTACACGCGCGCGCGCACCAACACACACACACACACACACACACACCTATACTTTCAAACCATACTTTATGCATTTACAGTCACACACCTGCATTGAACGATAGCGAAAAGGAAAGTGTAAGATCCATTTTCACAGATAAACCGCTATCTATCCGCTCGCCGCCGGTAATTGACCATTTGCGAAATTTATGGAAAGTGCGACTGTTCAATGGGCAATGATTTAAACACTCGTGTGATCGTGTGACTCTTTTTATTTGAGTCGCAAAAAAAAATCATATTTCACCGCTGTTACGATAATTTGAGACTTGTATTCGCTCGTTGCAATCCGCTTACTAAGTGACGTCCGACAAGAAGAAAGAGAGAGAGAGAGAGTGAGTTTACGTCATAGTTATCCTTTTTTAATTTCCTCGACGCAGCGTCGCGAAGTTTCGGTAGATTTGTAAGTTGCAATTCGCAGCATGACAACGGTGGATCGTTTCGGTATGGCAAAATTGCAAGGGACACGACGCGTGGTCGCACAGAACTTCTATCACAAGGCTGCGAAAAAGTAATTTTTTGGTCGCAGCCAATTGATTTTTATCAAACTTAGCTTACAAATTTTTCTTTCAAAACAATCTGTCAACCGTAAAACTAGGGCCCAAAGATTGATATAATTTATGTTTGTGAAAAATGACTTATTTCGTAAAAGCGTGCGTTCCAATCGAATCCTTAGTATTCTTAGTGTACTTTACGGAGGGAAAAGTAGTTTTACGAGTATTGTATCAATCGAGTCCGAAACACGAGCGCTTTGCTACAAATCGAGCTTTTCGCTATTGTAATTTGTTGTAATAATTAGAACTTCAACAGATATGGTGCATCGTCGGAAGTAAAAATCAGTATAATTGCAGACGCAAACATTACTGAATAAATGTTGTCGTCCTTCGTTTTAATTCACTTTTTGTGATTGAACAGCCAACCGTAAGAATTATCAAGCTCGACAGCTGCCGACCGACAAACGAGAAAAGAAGAATAATTATTAAACATCCATAACTAATCGTGGCTTCTGGATTCCAACAGTTAAAACGCGCGCGATTCAGAACTCCGTACCGCATACCGATTTTCAAAAGTACCTGAAGAATCAAAGTCTTGAGTTCCTGATCGCTGAGGAAAGCAGGCTTATAGTGGCCCTCGGTGTAAGAAGTCACGGCGCCAAGGATGGTTTTTAGGTGTTGCACGGCCATGCGCAGCACGGTCAGCTTGTCGAGCTTGCGCGACATCGCGTGACACATCGGCACCATCGCCGAGAGCTCCGTGATGTACGTGTTCATCTTGTCCCTGCGGCGCTTCTCGATCTCGCTGTGATTCTGCCTAGATTTTAAACATTTCAACAGTCGTGTGGCATTAAAGATATTCGAAGAATTCCACAAATAGAAGAAACGATCGACTATAGCCCGGTTTCCCGCCAAGTTTTCAACGTCGAACAGCACTAGCAAATCGCATTACGCTCGTTGTAATGGGATCAGGATAAAGTTAAAGATAGACGCGACGGCGGAAGTGGGCGTACGTCATTTTTTTTCCGAAAGAATCAGTCCAAGTGTCGTCGGTCACTTAGCGGAGATAGAAATTTGGGGGGAAAAAACCACGCGTCGTTTTAGACATTTCAATTCGATTTACGGCACGAGATACACGTGTGTTTACAAGGAAAGTCATGCCCCTTGGAAAAGAAGCCGCATACACGTCGTCGCTGGCAATCAAGTTGGGTCAAGGTCATCGAAATTGCAACGCTCTAACCGACATTGCATAATTCTTGTAATAGCAAAGTTGCAGGATTTCTTTCATTGATAATTGCAGTGTTTAGAGATAGAAATCGTGTGAGGACTTACTTTTTACTGTCGTCGTTCGATCTGACGGATTTGGCGTCGTCGGCCTGGTCGTCCATTGCTTCACTACCATCGCTGAAAGTAAAAATGCGAGGCATTGTACGAGCGTGACCAAGAACGTTTCCGGCATCGCCACGACGAGTCAGTCAAGTCAAGATGAGACGATTCCGTCGAAGGTACAGGGAAAGCATTAGCTCGAAAGTATGCCAACTAATTGAACGGCACCTGCGTCATCGAAACCCCATTCGATCAAAAAAGACAATTGTTCTGAATTCCGTTGATCATTGTGCCGACAATTAGGCACATAACACGGCCGATTAGTTACGTTATCGGAGCTCAATGCACACGAAAAGTATCAACCCTATCCCTATCCGCGCATTTGTTATGAATTATGCAAGTGAGAGAGGCCCGATTACATTGGCGCACGATTATAACGTTTATGCAATCGCACGAAAAATGATTTTTTTTGGCGCACCGACCGTTTAAATAATGGATTTCTTCCTATTTCGCAAAACGTCGAGTGCATTGTACTGCTGATCGGTTGACGCGAGCTTAATAATACTGCGGTTAGTGGCTGTGAACTGCTAACGCGAAAGCTATAACGATACTCGTACTCGCTGTCAAAGGTTGGCTTGTCCGCGTCGCCGTTCACTTGGTGTGCCTTTTATTCACCTTTGTGAATGTTTGTTTGGTTTCGACGATCGCTATGGTAAAATTGTCGAAGAAACGTTCAGCAAAGCGCGTCAATTCGCAATCCGGTGGCGGCTCTGTGCGCGGCGCAAACCTTGTAAACAGTCGAGGGCGCGAAGAAGAAGAGAGGAAAGAAAGTTGACGAAGGCAAGCGAAACAGCGTGGACGAGAAGTCTTGGAAAGTCTTGCGGCAATTGCGCAGCTTTGAACTTTCGGGATCAAAGGGTTGGCGTGGGTTTCGCGTCTGAAACTTCTCTGGGTTAATATACACGAGGGCGCCGCGCGGGCTTCCGTGTCGCGCTCGCGATTTCTCGAATGTTCGAGCCGACAGATCGCATTATCGATGCGGGCCCAAATTGGAATTCGCAAGACTCACTTGTAGAAGATCTTCCTCTTCTTGGAGTAAAACTGCGACTCGCTACCAGTTGAGTTGCGATCACCAGTTGTGCTCTGACTACCGTCCTGTGAGTTTCTCGCGTGATGATGGTGGTGGTGGTGGTGATGGTGATACTGTCTCGACGACGATTTTCCTTCGGCGCGCGTTGGAGTCTGCTGCTGCTGCTGCTGCTGTTGTTCGGTTATCATGCTCGAATTCGGCTGTGGAGTCGTCTCCATGTGCTGCGGTGGCTGCTGCTGCTGCTGCTGCTGATAAGACAACTGTGCAGGCTCAGCTATTGCTACCGTTGTCGCGGCTGTTGTCGTCGACTCGTTGCTGCTGTTGGCAGCCTGACTCTCTTGCTTGGCAGCATGGACAGGCCCGGCGTCCGCGGGCCTGCCCTGCAGACCGCCTGCTGCTGTCGACGCCGCCGCTGCCGCTGCTGGGGCTGAGGCCTCGAGGTCGCCGAAGTAGCCTGTCGAGCACGAACTTCTGTTGTGGCAAACAAGTGACATTACTTTTTTCTTGCAGTGATCAAATGTTCAGTGTTGTGCTGAAATTCCTCATGGCAAAAAAGAATGCTTGACTCGCTCTTCACAAAGTAACTGTTTTGATCGCTACTTTCGTTGACGAGTTTTTGGCAAAAGTCAATTTTGGTTTCGCCGTGGCTCACTTTCTTTTGCACATCTCTCTGTTTAGAATAAATATATGCGTCAAACATAGCTTTGTAAGTATTGAATAGTCATTTGTGTGAGTATTTCATGTGCAGTTATTTAAGTATGCAAAATACATAAATAAATATTATTGCATAAACTAGGTAATCTTTTTCTAAGTAATTTTCAGTTGTTTCGATGCGTGGTCCGCGATCACCATTCAAATTTGGTCATTTCAACCGTTCGGTTGAAGAATCATTCGTACCGTATGCAAACATTTAATTGTTTATATTTGCAAAATATTATTCGGAATTTTGTTTTCGATAGCTTCAAAGGATTGTCAAACCCGCTGGAAATGAACACTGAATAAAATCTGTTTATGTAATTTTATCTTCTTTCTCGAGAAAAACTTGGACGTATGCGTAATTTTCGCCCAAGAAATACCATCATCCGCAGTCTCATTTCAATAAAAACATAATAAGGAGCATATCTTGACGACCGAAAAGTCGAAAGAAAAGCTATCACGCGTACGCAGTGCAATTATAGCTAGCCAAGTTCCAAATTGAAAAGTATCGTCGTCGCTCGCTAGCAATCTTACGAGGAAATGCGCTTGGAGGAAAAACGAAAAGTCAGGCGTGCGAAGGTTAACCGCTTATCTGGCGTGCGCGTGCTGCTACTTGGGCGAGTATAGTAGTCGCAATGAAGACGACGACGTCGACGATGCTCTTTTTTCCGCGAGTTGTACTCACGGTGATGTAACGAGCTTCGCGATTTGTTTTGAAAAAGTCTATCTAGCGTTCACGTGAAAACTGCTACTCTGCACGATTTGCGTGATCCTATAATATCTTTGGAAGCCAAGCACCGACTATTTTGACGAAGTAATAGACAGCTTTTATTGAAATGCTGCCGAAGCGGCGGTTAAGCGATTCCTAGTTAAGTTGTCTCTGGCTTTCAGCTTGGCAATTATTGCAAATGGCCGTGCGAATCTCGTGGCGGTGCTTTTAAAAAAACATATACAATTAGCAGACGACAGAAAATGAACGCGCTCTTGAAATCGTAACGTCTTGGCAATTTCATTCACGAATGTACTCGTTCGAAAATACGCCTCTCTCTCTCTCTCTCTCTCTCTCTCTCTCTTAGAAAACCACTTGCGACGTGAATTTGATCGATACGTAAGCACCGTCAATGTAAAACTTTCCTTCCAAACGCGCAATCCCAAATCCTTTGCAAGTGAAATCGCATCGTCGGACAGACACGAATGTTCCAGTTTTCACCAACGCACGTGTAAGAATAATACGAACGAAATGGCTTACTGGTGCACATTGGTGAGATTATAGTAGCTCTGTTGCTGTCTGGCGTGATATTGGTGATGATGATAACCGTGTCCGAAGGAGGAGCCGGAGTCGGAATTGGTGGACGGCCTTGCTCTCGGCCGCAGCTCTTCCAGCGATATCATATCCGAAGTTGGCTCGGGTGGTGGCTGGTGATGTTGCTGAAGCAGCTCGGCGTAGCCAGCCTGAGCTTGGCTCTCCTGGGCGACCATGGTTAGGCTGTTGCTGTTGTTGTTGTACAAGAAACTCGGCTGCTCGGCCTTGATGCCGATCGACGACACCGCCGACGACGCGAAGCTGATGCAGTCCGCCACGCTGTCGTCCAGCGATATTCCACCCTCGTCTACACGGACACCGATTATCACATTGACCATGAAAACTTGTTTGCGCGCGCGCGTGCGCTTTCGGGGTCGGCGTTCTTTTCGCAGAGCTCGCTGCCGATAACTTCAGCATGCACGGCTCGATTATTCGAAAGAGCGCGTTTCGCAATCGGCAGCCAATGCGCGCAAAGGAGAGAAGCCGATAACCAAGTGGTTTTTATCGATCAGGACAGACGGGATCGCCGAGAGCCGAAAGAACTCGCGCGCGTCTGACCGGATCTCGGTGCGTTCTACTTCGTTCTTTTTCGGCAGCTCGAGAGCACTCACCAAAGAGCCTGTACATCCAGGTAGGAACGGAAGTGGCGGCATCCTCGACGGAGGCCTCGTGGCGAGGCTCGTCTGTGTCTTCGGACGTTGACTGATTGCCGCAAGCTGTCGAGAATGTACCGCCACCACGTTGGGCCCCGACGCCTCCCGCCGTCGAGACCCGACGATTTTTCTCACCGCTCGGCGCCGTTCGCGCGCTTTTTCACTCGCTCTTCTCTATGAAACGAGCTCCTCCCGGTCGGAAGATTGCACTCGTATATCGCCGTTTTCCTTTCTTGTCGCGGACACTCACTCGCGTACTGTGCGTTTGCTTGTTCAGACGTCCACGTTGAACGCAGATTTTACTTTCTCTTGTTGCAGTTCTGCGCTGCCACAAAAAAAACAACGAAGACCGGATCGAAGAGAGGCCACTAACTCTACATTGAAGTCCCTTCAAAATTCGAGCGGCACTCGAAAACGAAAAACGCTCCGGGGAATACGAAAACCAATCTGAATTGCTTCCGACGAACGAAGGATTCAACAGTTGTCGGGTGCAACGTCAGGCTTGCATTTTGAAGGGACAACAGCAGGATCAACGGAAAAACGATGGACACTAGCGGTCACCGCAAGCGCAGGAGGACGGCGAAGCACAAGAGAGAAAAACGAGATCCGTGCAAATCACTCGAGCACTCACGTGCACCAGAGAAAACACACGGAGAGACCGCGACGACTCGGAGCGTGGTATCGTATGAAAAGCAGCGCGCAGCTCGTCACGAGAGCGACTGTTGGTGCAGGGGAGGGCAGTCGGGCGACTTGGCTCTCGAACGAGCCCACGTGGTCGGGAGCCGCAGGTGGGAGTGACGCTCGCCGGCGACTCAGGCCGCCTCCTCTCTCGCGCGCGCGCCCGCGCGCCCCCAAGTCGGGGCTGGACCACGCCACCACCCCTTCTCTGCTTCACCTTGAGCGCGCTGCGCATCGGAGAGGGAGTGACTTGGCGCGTGCAGCCCTTGCTCCGTCGATCGACGGAGGAGGTTTTTCTGCCCGGAGACTTTAATTTTTCGGCGAGCGCGCTGGCTAATGCCAACCGCGGTCGGCCGGCTTCGATGCTCGGCGGACAAAAGGAAGCGCGGACGCGAGCGCAGAGCCACCGGTAGATCGTAATCTTCTTTCCTCGTCGCGGCCTTTACGCAATAGCTCGATTACAAGTTCAACCGCGTTTGACGACTCACCCGAGAGGCGGTATAACGAGATTGTGCGAGCTTTTAAAGGCAGTCGTATTGTTTACACAGCTTGCCGTGCACCTCGGTTACGTAAAGAGCGCTCTTTACTCGAACGACGACTTCATCCTCGTAATGTGGCGTGTCGCATGATTTGCGCCTTCGCGTTGCGTTTTTCTCTTCTGTCGCGGGGATCGGAATGTAAATATTGCGAACGGAGCCTCGCGTACGAGGAAAGTTCTTTCCTCGGCTCTCGCGTGTCGGACAATCTGTGTTACCCGCGAGGCAACTTTGCGAATACCGTGGTCACCCTTCAACAATCGCTCGATATAACTTTTCAAGATCCGCCATTCTTCGTCGACAGCGTTTTCCTCTGTTCATTTTTCTCTTTCGAACCTGCCTTCCCGTCGGGTATTTTTCGAAAATCCCGTAAATAGCTGTAAATCCGATTACGCGCGCCGCGCACACGCGGAGAGTGGCGCGCCTTGGATCATCAAGTTTACTGATGTGCGCGTAGCAACAATGATCGTTAAGTTTGGCTTATCGGACTACCGGCGCGCGCGCCGTCCCCTTCGTTAATTACCGCCCTGGGCTCTTTGAAGTGTGCACGCGCGTCATCAATTAGCTCGCAGATGCACTCGCATTTTTTTTTTTTCGCTTCATAACTGCAGTCGAATCGGTCATCGATGGCATACAAGCAATATTGCGGGTGACCCTTCTGTATTTTTTTTTTTTTTTTTTCGAGCGGGCCTTTTTGTTCGAGAGCTCTTCGCGTCAGTCATATCGTGATGCGTGGAAACTTCGAAATACATTCGTTTCTTTCTACGCGAAAGAGAGTTATTTTTGCTCTTGTAACCGATGTAAGAAATCAATACATTTATTACGAAATATTTAAGATAAAGTTACTCGATTTTTTCGACCAGGGGCAAAAACGTATCAAGTAACGTTCACTCATCCGAGGCAAAGGTGGTAATCTCGATTGTTTCCGGCTAACCTATGGCCGCCGAGCATTTCATTGATTGGTAAAATGACACCAAAGTGGCAACTCGTCGCATTTTTCCTCGACGAGATAGAACGTTGCTCTTTTCCTTTTTTCCCCGAAACAAATGTAGTAGGACATTTTTTTTTTGATCGCGTAAAACAGCAGCGTCGTCAAGATACTTGGGATTTTTCGTGAGACTCGTCGTATGGGACGAAAAATAAAAGAACGACGCGTGTCACAGTCACGAGAGTTTACCAAACATATAAAACGCGCCTACACACACGTGAGATAAATATATATGTGTAATACAAGAAGTACGACGGTGTCGTTTCACTTGGATTCTGCTTGCACTTAGATATTTGTTTTCATACAGGTATTCGGACGGAGTAGAATATTCTTTAAGAAAAATTACAGTTTACGGTTATAATTTTCATCACAGTATAATTGATAATTACAGCATTTGATACTAAAGTATGACGATGGTCAAGCATTTTTCCTTACGAAAGATTTCTTGTTTTCGTATCCTTATTAATTCATAAGAGAATAAATAAAAGCTGATAAGTGCGATAATTCACCTCAAAAACTTGTCCTGAACTCCGACGCCTCCGCTTCATTGAACAGCTTCACCGTTCGTCTGCTATCTGCAACTAAAAAATGTCAATAAACATACTTGAAAGAAAAAACTCGGTTACATATACGTCGTTCATTCGCACACGCACTTTTCATATTCCGCAAACGTCGACGCTTTCGAGCGACATGCGCGGCGCTGGACGAGGAAAAAAAAAAACGAAAGAAAGTGTTGGATTCGTTCACTAGAAATTTCGCCGCATTCAGCACGTGCGATAAAGCTTGATTTTTTTTTCAACGTATAAACAGCCGGAGAATTCGCAGCCTTGACAATTTGCATTACGACATGTACTTTTGGAGGCGAATTCTGTGTTTCGCCTGGGAAAAGAAAATTGCCATTTCACGATCAAACCCTAAAGATTAGAATAATAAATGTCGACCGACGACTCGCCTCAAATGTACCAGTTGTCAATAAGAAACTGATAATTATATTAACGTCGTTGATTACAGATTCCATCGGGAATAAGAGACGAGAAAATCAGCATCGTCTCATCGATCAGTATGAGGTTTTCCGTACTCTTAATTGGCAACGAGACGAGTGTCTCCTTCTTCTTTTTTCTCGCGCTCTTTCATTTTTTGCTGCCCCTTGTTTCGAGTTTTACAATTCACCGAACTCTCGCTGCGCCGCTAAATTAGCGATACTCCTAATTATCGTCACGGGTAGGTCTCGCCTTGGCTCAATTATTTTGACGAAGATAATAGTTTGAAAGTCGAGTTAATCGAATTTTCATTGTAAATTGAAAATTCGAAAATCCATTTTGCCGCAAACAATGGCCGTACCTTCAACTTCAGCCCTTCAGTGCGAGCCCACGGTACAGTTACGCAACATCGGCAGGAACACAACACGCGTGCTAATTGCGATTGACAGCTACGTAGGGACGTCAGTTGCACCTGCGGCTACATTCTTTTTTGCGATTCAAGCGAAAGCAGCTGCGAAGCGTTCATCGGCGACTGCAATCTGCTCGCTGAAAACTAGGTCAGGATGCGCGATTCGCTGGATTTTTCGGCGAGCTAGTGACACTTCGTAAGGGAATCGCAGTCGAGCATGGCTTAATGTAGTTCGGCGTGAGAATAATAATTCGAAATACGAAAGAAAAGAAAAGCTGTGCGTGCGCCGAAGCAAATATACGAGTAAAAAGGCGCAGCACGTGCAATGATGTTTACGTTATTCGCACATCGACGCCTTGCACGATTGGAAGGCATCTGCAGCTACGAGCACAAACTCGTCTGGCTTACGCGCTCTCGTTTGAAAATCAATAGAGCTTTAAGGAAGTTATCGAGCGTAACAATTCTATTGATACGTCACAGTTGCAGCGCTAACAATTTGGAAATCATTACATCATTCCCTACAGCTTATCGTGCTCAGTTAGACGCTCAAGTCGGTATATGAGCTTCGGCGAGAAAAAGCGAAATCTTAATCCATAATCCAACTGAAAGTTTATGGATTTTCTTCGTTGGTTTGCTTGCGCGCTATCGTTTATTTCGGCTTTTCGAGCGTTCATCGATACTGAACTTATTCAAACGGCTGACAAAAAGAAATTATTTCCAATCGAACTTCATTCAAGAACGTCAACAAGTCAACGCCAGTTCTAACTGCATCCCAACAATAACGTCGTCACGGTTCTCCCTCTCTCTCTCTCTCTCTACTCTCCTTCGTCATCGATATTGCCATTGTGCGCTCTCTTAGATAATCGACTCTGGCTATATACACGTATATATGCGCCGGCTTGCGTTACGTAATTCACTGCCAACGACGAAGAGTTTCTATCCCTTCCTTTTTCACTTTTCTCGTGCCTCTGTACGAAAGACACAGTTTCTTTTTAAACTATGCGAGTTTCATTCAGATTGTTTTTTCTTTTTTCAGTTGGATATGACGACTATAGACGCGATTGAGAGGCTTTCTTGGTTACGCAATGTTCATAATAATCCACTCGGGGAATTTAATTAGGATGGATTATTGGTTATCGGCTTAAACTCGCGCTGCCGTCGTTGCTGGCATTGAGCTTTTTTTCATTTTCAACATTTCTTCACCTAGCGTCCGAGGCAAAAATGGTGCCTTGAACGTTGGCTTGGAGAACAAGATCCTTGTGACCGATCGAACGATAAAAGCCTGACCAAAGGAAAATTCGACTGCCGTGGGATGCTCCGATCGGAGATTAAAAGCCAGCGACGCATCGACGTCGACGTCGACGCACGCACACGAACGCACGTGCTGCAGTCGTCTTTGCGCGGACAGTGTCAAGGCCTCGGTGGGAAACGCTGCACTTCAGTCGCATGTGCGCTTCTTATCTCTCCGCGCGACGCTGCGTGCGCGCGTGCGTGCGCGTGTGGCTTTTCATTACGTAACTCGTAGCGCGGCAGCGACAGTCGGCGGTGGGATGCACATTGCGCCAATTAGACTGATTGGAAAACAGTAGTCCCGCGTTTCTTTGCGCACGACGCGCGCTCGTGCACACGACTGCCGGCGCGCGTTATGCGCCTTATTGAGGAAACATGCTCTTTTTCGCGACGAGTCGCATGAATGGGCCTCGTTGACAGGCCGGATCGCTCGGAGCTTGGCGTGCGCGTCGCGAGCAGCGCTTTCCGTCGTTCCGGAAAGTCGGATAATTTTGAAAGCGGCTGGCGCGCTCTACTCAATTAAAACGTCGCCGCCGATCGAGTAGAACGCCGCGTTTTTATAATTACGCAATTAACGACGTTTATTTACTCTGCGATATCTTTTTCGTATTTTCACAATTACGGCGTGACGTGGTTTTTTTTTCACGAGCACTCGGAAAAGCGAGAGAAACAACGACTGAACGGCGATGCGAAGAGCCGCGATCGTTTCAACGAATAGTTTACATCCTAAATATACGTCCAATAAAATAATGCCGCGCGATACTTCCTTATTACGACGATTGCGAATGTAATATTGCGCTAGTCAAACGTTCGATTAGGTATTAATCGACGCGGGTATATACTTAGTTTTCAATTCTTTATCCTAGCCAGTCACTTGCAGATCATTCGACGATTTTAATTGCAACTTGGCGCAGCAAAAACAATCGCGTACGTCCAATCAATCCACGCCGATAGAGTTAAAAGCTCACGGTGCGCATGTGGGATAACGGCCCTACGTGTGTTCGTGAGAAAATGCACGATCACGAGTTTCATAAATCGCTGGTAGGAGAAAAGAAATATAGCGGCGGCTCTATTCACACAAACAATATTCGCTCTTATTCGTCCCTCGACCGACGGCAGCGAAAACTTGGATTTATGCAATAATAATTATAAGCGAGCGAGATCAAAGAGCGAGCGGCTTAGATTACGTAACCGCGTCGTCATTTCAATTACGCTGATACCACCGCCACATCTCGCACGCAGTTGCTCTACTTTTCGCGCGCGATTTTCATTTGAATTCGAATTTTCCCGCTAAAACTTTCCGTAAGGCGGCACGCGTGTAACGTAAGCTCGTTGTTGCGATTTTGCGAGCAGGCTGCACCGTGCAGTGACGAGTTTTCACGATATCGCGTCGTAGAGCAATTTTCTTCGTTCCTTTTCTATTCGCTCACGGTTATGTCATACAGTCGTTTGATTTTCTATTATTTCGCATTGTAGTTTATATTTTTACTCGTTGGATTTTTAACTGACGTTTGTTTTATCTGTAAGCAGACATTGCTTTACGGTTCGAACGTTCAGTTACAATTAACGTAATTCAATATTATCAACATAGATAAAAGCTTTCAATTCGTATATATATGTAGCTATATAAAAGCTGGCGTAGTTTTGAAATATAATGCGTTTTATTTTTCAGTTATGAACGCAATTTATGAGTAACCATGGTAATTGCAATAGCAACCTAAGTGCGCAACGACTATCTCGTTACATTCTACAAATAATTGAAAATACAAGATAATAACAACTGAAACCAGCTGTAATAAATTAAATAAACGCACATAGCTTTCTATTTTCAAGTGGATCGCATTCTATCATTTTTCGCCCATCCAAACGATTGCTCAGTTATTGATTTTTGCAATTAATGCAAAAATGATGGACACAGTTTCTCTTATTCCAGCGATTCTGGTTTATTATCAGTCACTTCAATTTCTTCGGAAACATTCGATGAATCCAAAATCAAACTTGACGAGCAACCGGAGAACTGTTTTTCACTCAAAGACGAATATCATGCTCGCGCGACGATTTCACACCTCGGCGACATCTCGTGATGCGCCGCGCGTGCATTATAAAACACGTCGCTGTCGCGAAGGTGAAGTACCTCTGACGCAACAGCACGCATGCTATAACCATTACAGTCCAGAAGCACTTTGAGTCGACAAATAAGCAAGGTCGAATACTTTTTCAGCGTAAACGTGTACGTGCGTGTATCTGTGTGTGTGTGTGTGTGTACGTGTGTGTCGGATGAATCAATGCGGAGAAAACTGCGCTTTTATTCGCGCTTCTGTTGTCGCTGTTTGAATTGTTTAATTGCGATATCACTCAAGTTTTTGTACAAAACGACGTTGATATCGCGTTCGCTCCAATGGAATGCGCGCGCGATTGATAAATCGCCAGTCGCGTGAAAAAAGAAAAGCCGAATACTTTAGCGGCATCATTAAGCTTTCCGGAAAATCTTTGCCTAGACGAATACACCAGCGCCGTATCTTTTATTATGCGTGATTTATTCAGCTTCGAGGCGCATACATATCGATAAACTATCTCGATACTCGCGCCGAGTTTCTTCGTGCGCTCGAGCTCAGCGTTATACAAAAGAAAAAAGACGATATCTCCGCGTTTTAATTTACAGAAGATTATGTTATTTAAAAAAAAATGTCCGACATTGTCGACAAGCATCGATATCACTCGCCAAGTCAATTCGCAGAGATGCTCTTTTTCAATTTATCGATCGTACAAAGAGAGAGAGAGAGAGAGAGAGAGAGAGAGAGAGAGAGAGAGAGAAGAAAATAACTTATTGTATCGATCGTATAAGCCCCTTGAAAGTAAAATCTGACGACGCGATCACATAAACGCAATACTCGTTTCTTCTTTACGTCGCTAGCATTGTGAGATCGTTGCAAACTGTACGTCGACGATTCGCATCAATCGAGTGCACTATCGTTAATTCGGAAATTGATGGTTTGATAATTCGATCGAAACAACGGAACGCGCGAGAAAATTTAGCGAAGGTTTCGCTATCCACGTCTGGACATAAAAACGACGCAACGATAAGAAAAAAGACACGGTTATCGCGCGAAACTCGGGGATGAGCGAAGCTCTATCGAACATCAATACCAAGCGCTTTCAATTAAGCGCTACGAGTGCTGGAAAGAACAACTTAGTTCTTTAGGGATGGATCGAGACAAGGGTAAGGACGCAGCAGTGTCATTGAAGAGAATAATACAGAAGAGCTTTGATGCGAATTATTTGCAATTTGCAATGCGCACTCGCGCATCCGGTTTCGTCGTCGCCCGAGAGAGAACCGAGAGCTCGTGTATAGATGTATATATTATATATATACATGAATACACCGTCGATTACGCAATCGTCAGATGTACTTGACGCCAGAAGAGAGAGAAGGTCTACACTTTTCACAGACGTAAATATTTCCATTTTCCCCGGGCGTACCTACGTCAAATTTCTCGTTGCTCAAGGTCAATTGCTGCATTCACTTGGAATTCCTCGCGCTCGAACGCGAGCAAGAAATAACGTAGTAAATCCGATTGACGAGCGCGCGAAAAAGGAATTTGTTGATAATTGAAACTCCAGATAGAAGAAAGTTCACTGGTTGTCACGGGATAATATAGTCCTCTCGGCGAATTTTCGAAAAATATTCATCAGCGCATTTTCATGAAAAACATGCGTCATCCGAGCAAAACTGTATTCTCGCGAGATTGCACCTTTCGCACAACAATGAAAAATCACTAAGAGAAACACGAAGAAAAAGAAAAAGCTCATTAAAAATTTGCACTTGACAAGCGCCACTCGTTACACAGATAAAACCCGTTAGCCAAACACAACAAACTTTGACTCGGGCAGCCAGCGAAAGAAAGAGAGCAGAGAGGAGGGAAAAACGACAACGAACGACTAGACAAAGCGATCGAATAGATAAATTTCACTTGACTAAAACCAGCCAAACCGGTTGCACAACGCGCTCAGAGCCTTATCCGAAATAACACTGCACCGATTTTTACCCGGTGCCGCTGCTGCCGAGATGAACAAGATCGGCGTTACGTAACGGAAAATAGAAAAGCAAAAGGCCGTCGGTCAATTTGGCTAATGTGAGTTACACTCCGTCGCTGCGCCGTGGCGCGCGAGTTATCGCCGATCTCGCTGCCGCCGCTGCTGCAGGCGAGACTTTATGATTGTGATATATGTGGAGCGAATCGCGCAAGGGTTTTTAGGAGCCTTTGTTTTTGATTTTTGGCTGAGTATTGCAAAATCAATTGTTTCGTGAATTACGTGATTCTTGAATTTAATGGGACTACATAATTAGTTCGTAAATATTGCTTGAATTATACGGTTTACGACGGTATTCTTTTTACTTTGACCATCAGTACTTGCTAATAGCGCAATAAACTGTTCAATACAATAATGAAATATTTTTAAGACTTTTTCCAAAATAATAAAATTTAATCAAGTTGGCAGTCAATTTAGCCGACGATTTTCTACGTAACGAATACTTTAAGAGTTCAACTGAAACATTCAAAATTGCTGCATAACTGCATAATTATTGCGTAAACTTTCGTTTGCCATTGAGATATCGCAACTGTCTATCCAATACCAGCTTACCATACACCGCTTGTAATAAATTTTAACTCCGACCCCGATAAAAGCTCAAACTTTTTCTCAAAGCACTTTATCCCGCTAAAACATTCAAATTCAGCAAATTGTTCCCTTTTAGTACAAGCGGCATTCAAATTTGGCCGCTCAATTATGAATATACCACATGTGTGTGCGCATGAATATTAATGACCGGAGAGTGAGAGAAGAGCCTTCAACTCCGTCGTGTACGTCTCTATATTCTCTCGAAACTGGCGCACGATTTTGCATCGACAGCACGTGCGATTGCCATAGGTTTCGATTATGTACACCGTAGAAAAGACCCGAGCTTTGAATATACAGATGGCTCGGCGAATTATCAGTGACGACGACAACTGAGAGAGGGAGAGAGAGATCACGAACGACTGATATGCAGTAAGCGTTCTTCGATGCTCCTTTTTGTCTCTCGTGGAAGACGATCGCTTTTCTGTGGCTTGTATACATTTTCGAAACGTTTCACGACAGACTCGCAGTTTCATTTTTCGCGCAACCGAGAATTGCACTCGCGCGGCTTTCTTACATTCTGAATCATTATACTCTGTATTCTGCGACGCGCCGACCGACTATGAAGATTTCCACGTCAGAGACAGGAACGCACGCGCGATTAACTCTTACGCGTCTATCCGATTGCACTCTTGTCCAAACAATTTCTGTGCGAGCGTCAGTGATCCATTAAAAAAAATTAAAAAAAGAAAGAGCCAATCGTAACTTTCCAGATAACGGGCACTGCGCGCTTCGCGTTATGAACGCGAAGGGAAAGAAAAAGCGAAGCGGACGGCAGACGAAGAAAAATGAGCAGCGATCGAATCATCCGGGCGCGAGATAAACTGGAAAAATCTCGGGAAGATCAGTATGCAAAGCGAATAGCCGGCTAAAAACAAGCGTCTATTACTTGCGCAGCTACGTAACGCTGGCCGCTCGCGCGCGCGCCGAGCCCGAAGAAAAAACAAAGAGGCGCGCAATGGTAATGCAATGAATCGCGCGCCCCGGCGATAAGTCTTCTTAAACGCTCGCTGGCCGACGTTGAATATGCAGAGACGTGCGAAAAACGAGACGCGAGCGCGTGTGTGAGAATGAAAAAGAGGCGTTCGTCGGAAGGAAAAATCGCGTCGTCAATAACGCGCAGCGGATTTTCTCTCTCTCTCCAAACAACGGAGAAGCGGGAATTTTTGTTTGACTATTTCGCTGGCGCTGACACCGATGCGGCGAGCGCGCGCCACGGGCTTTCCTACGGATTCTCAGTCTCTGACCTTGCCTCGCGTACGCGCGCACACCGCTACTTTATTTTTCTTTTTTTTCGCGCGACGAACGAAAAATCACACGCTTACCGGCTAAGGACATGTATCTGTCCGGTAGTAGCAACAGGTTGCCCACATGCTCCGCACACCTTGCACACAAGCCGCGACAAATAAAAACTATCACATGAAGAGCTGAACGGCAGACGCATGCACGAGGGAGACACAGTGGGAAAGCGCGTGGACTGAACTGGCGCCCGGCGACGATGCGCTACTAAAGCTATTGGTGACGTCTTCTCCTGCGGTGCTTGTGTGTACATGTATCAAAACTGCAGCAGTGCCTGACGGCGGCAGCACCTTACGGCTCGTCACGATGCGCTCGTGATGCACTTGCATCTCTCTCTCTCTCTCTATCTCTTCAATGAGAGAAGGAGGCAAATAATAAACACCAACGCCACTGCAAGCGATTAAACAACTGCCTACGCCACGCTGGAATAAACTTGTTTTTACGTTTCGACGATATCGCTAGATATTGAATTTCTTTTTTAGGTCGATGTGCGTATTAATTTTTAACAATGATGTTGCATAACAAGCGAGAGTTTGGGTGTGTGCTGTAAGAAAAAACATTGTCTTGGAGATATCTGAAAATGATCTCGATCGCTGCAAAATTTTATTTTTGTCTCTATGTATTAAGGCAGACAATACATTTTATGTATCATTTTAGCGCGAAACTGCTGCGTGCAGTTGACGTCAATACGTTTCATTCGTTTCGAGATATGTCAGCGTTAGTGTACAAAGCATCTCATTCGCGCACTCTGCTCTTATATCTAATTTTATTTGTTTAATTTTTCATCGGATACTGTTCCCTAGAATTAAGACTTTATTATTATTTTTCAGTGGAAGTTAAACTATTACGAATAGCACTTCGTTAAATAATTTTGAAATCCCATAGAAACTAAGTCAGTCATTATCAAATATTTTTCACAGCTTAAATTTCCTTATAATTTTCTATGCGCAAATGTAAATTGTTTATATCGTATATTTAAATCTAATGTGGTTGTAAGATATTGAAAAGTGCTTAATCAATTGAAATTCGACATCTCTCCTTTGATTTTTTATTGTTAAGAGCTATGTACATTTTAATTTCAAAGGAAAAGTTAATTACAGTAGATGCATTATTTACACAATAAAATAAACGACACAATTTTTTTTCAACGAGCATGCATGATTTGCATGAATCCTTAATCAGATATAAATATTTTCACCATTTCATATCTTAAAGTATAAGTATATCTAAAAGTAGCATTAGCATTTAAAAACCATAAACTTAAATAAATATGAAACTTAAGCTTGCAACACTGGTCTCTCGTATTTCCCTTGAAGATTATCATTAGCAGCTGAGTAACCAGTACCACCCTGTAAAGTATAATTTTATTTAATTACTTTTATGTTAAGCCAAAACATTGTCTATAATTAGGAAAATAAAATTACCCTTTGCAATGGAATGATATCAGCTTCTGTGAGTTTTGTACTGTCAAGAGGATTTATCCAGTCTTTTTTTATAATTTTCTCCACACATTCCATTGTGACTACATCACCTCTGCAAAATAATAATCAATTTTTTATTTTATTTATAAAATTCAGAATGAAAAACTATTTTCAAATGAACATTCCAAAGTAAAAGTTATCTTACGTTGTTCTAATAACGGCACAAGGAGTACTATTACTCAAAACATCATGAGTAATTGGACACATGTATCTAGCCTGCTTAACAATCAGAGAGTTTTTATCATCTGGATCTTTAACTTCAGTAAACTTGACAGGAATGAGATCTTTTATCTTGAGAATTTTTCCGCTAACAGGACAGTAAACATTCTTATCCGGCTTTTCAATTATCTTTTCTTTTGCTTGAGGAGTTTTTGATGGAATCCAGAAACTTGGAAGCTCTTTATCTTTTCCATTGCACATATTTGATACAGATGAAGGTCCAGCTTCTTCATTTTTCTTTTCATCTTTCTTAAACACAATAGTTTTTTCACCTTTCAAGAAATTTTGCAGCTTCGTAAGTTCCTCTTTTGCAGTCAATTCTTGAGATTCTTCTTCAAGTTTCTTCTTCTGCTTCTCATACTCTTTCAACTTTCTTGTGTACTCTTTCTTTTTTGCAAGTACATATTCCAAAACAGCTTCTTTATCAAACAGATATCCATCTTTTCTACAATTATAAAAACATTCGTAAAATAGTGTCATTATAAATTGTTTGAAAAGTCATTGTCATAAAATTAGTCACTTAATGGCATTACAATAATCTACCTTTGAAAGTACAGAGAATAAATCACGTACTTAGTATTATCTCAAGACATAACCTATACACTATGTTTGTGAACGACATGAAAAAGGTAAATAAATAACTTCCATTGCATGGCATATCTGAATTTCTCAAATATAAAAAAATAGCAAACTTACGTGATAACTGGATTCCTACAGGGCTGCAAAGACAAACAACAACAATCAAAGTCTCTCAAAGAGTCTTTGCCCACTCTCTGAAGATTGGTACCGTATCCAGATGCTGCTGCGTCCTTTTTCTTCTCGTGATAAGTGTAAACTGCTCCTGCAGTACAATTTCTAGCGTGCCTTGTCATAGTTTCTCGTTATTTCACAGTATTAAATTATAAATATTACACTTGGAGATGATGCTTGCTGCAATTCCAAAATGAAATTAACGTAAACAGTAGTGATGCAGCAAACCCAAGCGGCGTCGGTGTCATTCTAACATCGCCATCTTGCGGTATATGAGATAGACAGACGTCGGTAAGATAGACATTTGCGGATCACTAGAATAATTTCGAACATTACCGTAAGATGGATTCACAGTTCGTAAAATTTTTGCAGTACTTGAAACATTACAATATTTTTGTTAATGTATTATATTTTGTTACGGTAATAACTCTCCTCAAATAAAATAATCGATAAGATATAATTAGGTTCGAGAGTAACCAACTGCGTAATAAGAAGTTTGATGACGTCAGTGCTTGTTATTAATTTTTGTATAGATTAAAAGATTTTGTATAAATTATCATTATTCGAAGAAGTAAAAATGTGCAGTTAACCAGCTTTACAAATAAGAAATTGAGTTTCCCGCTTTGTTTCAGATATTCGGATGTGATATGAATGAGACGACTCCAAAAGCAACTTATCGAATGGAAAGGAAAAGATGACAAAGCCAGTCGATGAATGGTTTCACGTGCCGCAGTATTTCTTGATTTGGAGGGTCGCTTGGCTTGTCATTTTTCGTGTAATAGGTATTGCCGAACACATATATCTCAATTGACTGGTATATATATATATTATAGCACTAAGCCTCAAGCTAAGAATCTTATTGTCATCGGGGCAATTACACGGTTGGCAATTACGTGATGACTTACTTGAATTTTTTGCCTAAAAGACAGAGGGCAGCGCGCAGTTGTGACAATTGTCCTCGAGTTGATATTTCATCGTCTTTGAGAGGCAGCGCAGCAACTTACAAATCAGACGTTGCAAGATGAGAGAAAATTACAGTTTTATTTTTACGCGGATTTTCAAATTCAACGTTTGTCAGCGAGTAATATTTTTTCTTGTTTGGCGACCGGGAAAATCTGTAATATAATTGTTCTCGGCTCTGGATGGTTTTCGTACATTGGCCAACGAATCAAATTACTCTGATTGTGACGTTTATATTCTTGGCAATTCCTATGACACACTTATTGTATATTTCGTTACCACCGAAATCTCATTTCCGGTTTCTTTATATATATAGCCCGTAATCTGAACAAAACAATCAATTAACCTAAACAAGTTCAGAAATTCATATGGTCGGATTGAAAATACATTGTAAACCAAGTGTAAGATCTTTAATTTTAGAAGTGCGCGTCTATCCTTTTATTCCAAAATAGACGTCGCTTTATTCCTGACTCAGACTTGCCGAGATAAATTATTTCGTATCTCGTCAAAAGAAAATCCAAACGGGTGGATTTTCAGAAGTATTGCAGAAAGTGCATTACACAGATACTGAAACCCACACATTAAAATCAACTTCTAAACTTGTCATCGATAAAATATAGTGTTTTTCATTCAATCGGCATTTTAACGCAATTATAAAAAATTATGTAACAACTCCTTTGCAAAACTTTCCGCCGACACGGAAATTTCCACTTTCGGTGGCTTGTCAAAAGTAAGTAATCCACGAAATTTCGAGTGCCGAACACGCAGAATAAAAATAAAAGACAAAGAAAAGAGAACGCGGAGTCCTGCGAAGAGTTGCCATCGGATGCGCGCACACGCGAATGACCAAACAAGTAGGCCATGGTAAGGTGCCGAGTATAAAACGGTTATTCAAAGGACATTTGGCCAATTGACCCTTCTACGACTCACAGTATTGCGTAAAGCAGAAATGACCCCTGGACACTCCTATCTGGGAAATCCATTTTTCTTTCAGTGTTCGCGCATCTTCGGGTGGCTCAAAGCAAACGATATACTTAGCGGTAATTGAAATCTTAGCCAGCAAACACGAGCATTCGATTCGGTATTCTTCAAAGACGCCCTGTAATACTTATGGATTTGAAAGCGCTTGTTATTTGATTTCACGTTTCGACGAGCGCAAAGTGTGGCCTCAAATGACACCAGCTGAGAAATCCGAAAAGTATCCGAATCCTTCTTGAAATGCGCTTGTTTTTTGAAGTTTGACTTCAGTCAAATGTCGTCATCTTCAGTGTGTCAAAGCTCAGCGAGAGCGCCGTAAGAAACGAATTTACGATCGAGAGTAAAGCACAAAGAAATTTCCATTTCAAAAGCCGGCCATTGGACAACAATAATAACAATAATTAACATAGCTCGTCTCTCGCCCGAGCTATATATGTCTTAACGAGACGTGCGCGCGCATAAGTGTATGCAGGCAAGAATAATAAGATTCATCACCGCGCAAAACTATCGGCGTACATCGCCTAATTACAGATTTTACGCGAAACATTAAAGTCTCGTGTATCATCGTTGTGGCCGACGTTGCTTGCGTATATAGACACGTGTATGCGCGACTCCTCCGATCCGTCGCGCGGCGAGCATGTCGACGGCGATCATTTGAATTTTCGACGTTGGAAATCGCCAGCAATGTATTTCGCCACATTGTCGAGTGCTACGCGCGCGCACGCCTCCTCGCACGAACGTCGATACGAATTCACGAATTCGAGGAGGAATTACGTTAACGCCTTGGACATGCGCTCGACGCGATTGCTACTTCTTCTTCGACTTGTTTGGCTTTCGACGTGATCTGCCACGTGGCTTGAATTACTGTCCACTCGAAAGGACAAGATAAGGCCTGAGCGCAGCAGGTTGAACAGAGATAAAGTACGACGTCCGGCTAATGATTTTTTACGAATTTTCTTTTTCATGCGGGAGAAAAAAAGCTCGAAAGCTCGTCCGTCGCTCGACGGGAGCTCTTTTAAAACGCGAACAGAGCGGGCGGCTTCATCGGGTAAGCTTTTCGCGTGTGCCTGCTGTCGCAACCAGACTCCTCCATCGTTTCGACAATTGTTTTTTGCACAAACTTTCCGACGCCTCGGACAGTCGCGTGTTCTTTGCGAAAGGCCGCACGCGTACGTTGCCTTTGTCGATGCTCCGTGCGCCTCGCACGTTTATCTCGCCTCGTTGCACAATTGTCGACCGGCCGATCGATCGCCCATGTAAGTCCCATGCGAGCTTGAAATGTTACAGACAACTCCTCGAATATTCAATTGGTCGCCGTGGCAAGCCATGACTTTCTCGAATTTTCAAGAAAACTCAAGCGAACTTTTCGAAGGAAAAGGATATTGCAAAGCCACCACCGAACAACCTCGTGTCGACGTAAATTACAGAAAACGAGTCCCGTGCGTCCCCTACAAAACACCTTTGGTGAGAACATACGTTTATTACTTCCGAAAAAGCGTCTATTCAATGGGACCTTTAATGGCGTCGTTTTTCACCACTTGAAATTCCGATATTACATTCTCTGTCTTTTTCTCTCTGCCTTTCTCTCTATACTTAGCCTCTGTTATTTGCGTATATGCACAGAGAGTGAGAGAGAAAGAGAGAGAAAGGGGTCCTTGATCTGTGAAAGAATTTGTTTTACGCGGCAACTGTACATATAACGTGAGGAGTTTTATGACTTTCTCTGGCGGAGCTGTGATTTAGGAGGATATACCACACACTTTGAGCGTATGTGTGCACACGCGCGCGTATATATATATATATATATATATATATATATATATATATATATATGTATGTATGTATGTATGTATGTATATATATGGATTATGGCTTTGTAAAGCTTAGTTGGGGATTTCAGAATCATTCTTTTTATAAAAAATGTGGAAGAATTGAAACGATGATAAATTATTAGTTTGTCTGATAATCCGTAGTTGAGCCGTTGTCGATCAATCCTTCTAACAGATCGAGAAATCGAAACAGCTCGAAGCAAAGATTATAATTGTTGCAGCGATCAACGACGCCGAGTATACGGATACCGGATTATCCTCGCAAGTCTCGTTAAACGCTTCGATGCTTTCACAAGCCCTATACGCCTATAGTCTCTTCGAATCGTATCCCCCCCAAGGGTCGTAGTCGATTTTATGTAGCGATGCTTGGCAGAAACGCGATTCGGGTTCACTACCACTTGCGTTTTCGCGGACACGCTATTTCCCTTTACTTTGGCCTTGTAGGTTTTTCCAGTTCGCAGACGGACCGGGGAAAAGTCGGCCGACGATTTCCACTCAGCAGCAGAGTAAATAATTTTTTTAACGAAAGATACACTTGCCAAGCACAGACGAGTCATCCGAAAAATTCTAATGGAGCGCTGTTATATTTGATAAGCTGTGAAAAGAAAACGTCAGTCGTCTCGCATCCGAGGAATTTAATAAAACACGTTATAGAAAGCTGGACCAAGCGCCGCGAATATCCATGCAAATTATTTGCTTATGCGAAACACAATTAACGCAATGAAGCAGGCGACCCTCGCGCTCACTGCTTTGAGCAATTAACATTTTGCAGCGCGTCGGAGAGTTCAAATTCTTGGTCCTCTCGTCGTCGACGACGGCGCGTCTATTCAATTAAGCTATACAGAGAGTAGCTACGCGAATTAATGAATTTCTCTGTGTGCCCTTGACGTTCAACATCAGCTTGGCGAAGGCTTTTCGTTTAATCGAGATGGGGACGCGAAATTCCTCGTGAAAGCTAATTAAGAAAAAATTGATGGAAATATTTTTTTTTCTCTCTGCAAATTAAAATATCGCTTTGTTTGGATAAGATTTATGCGATCCTTCTCAAGAGGACTTTCGTTGTCAGATAAACTTGTCTTTGTTGAAATTAATATAAAAAAGTGTTGTTTTCAATCGTTACGATGGTAAACTGAATTAAAAAATGCAGAATTATAGGTGAGTCGATTTTGCAAAGGTAGTATATATATGTTTGCTTTGCGGTATTACATAAAATTAAATTTTACGAATTAGAGCAGTTAGCAACGTGTGTAGGAAGTCTAGTTTTAAATTGAAGGTATTGTACGAATAATAATACCGACGAGTCAGAAAAAAAGTTTGAATCGTTGCATAAAGAAAATTTCGGTAAAAAGCAATGT